ATTTTCATGGTTTTCCTTTTTACTGCCAGACTAAATGGTGCCCAGCACCTGGTTGTGAGCATGCTGTTCTCTTTGATGCTGGCAATGGAAACTATGATGTATCTTGCTTCTGTTCATATGGCTTTTGCTGGAATGTAGGTATCACTGATCTCTACTAAATTGTTGTTTTTAGCTTTTATAATTATTTTGCATATGTATTTACTTTTCTTTTGAAACTTCAGTGCACCGAAGAAGCTCACCGTCCTGTAGATTGTGCTACTGTGGAAAAATGGATTTTAAAGAACAGTGCTGAGTCTGAAAACATGAACTGGTATTTCTTTTGTCATGTGTAGTGTTCCTTTAGAGTACAATTTATTTTTTGACACTCAGTAGAAGATTTAGAGTACAATTTATTTGACCGTTTTCCCCCTTCCCCATGTTGAATGTTACCTTTTTCTGGAGTCTCACGTGATTTTCTTCTTTTTGTATTCTCATTGTTATGTGCTTTGTTCGTTAAGCTCCTGATTCTTTTACATTTGTGAATTCTTGTGCAAGACATTGAGCATGATTAACAATGAGTTGGTTATAATGTGCAATGTTTGTGTGTGCACATAAGTTTCATTTACATTTTTCAACTAGGCAGTAACAGGAGAAAAAGCTTAAAGAAATAATTGGCTTGTTTTCTGGAAACCTAACTTTGTTTTTTAAACATTATAATTTCAGGATATTGGCTAATTCCAAACCTTGTCCAAAGTGCAAGCGACCAATTGAGAAAAACCAAGGGTGCATGCACATGACTTGCACACCTCCATGTAAATTTGAGTTTTGTTGGTAAGCTTTGATACAGTTGGCGGAATAATGTCATCTCTTCTGTTCGTTTCTTAATGCAAATTTAAAATTTTTAATTATGATTATAAATATTGAGCTAAAAAATCTAAAGTTTTCCTTTCCTCATTACGGGATTCCTAATATATCCACTAATGCTGTTGTGGGGTATGGATAAAGCAGGGCGAAAAGGGTTTTCATTGATTGCATCTTTTTACGAGCAATTTGCAAATGGATTGTTTTTTTAATTTCTTATAATTTGTGAAGTGCAGGCTGTGTCTTGGTGCATGGTCTGATCATGGTGAAAGAACTGGTGGCTTCTATGCTTGCAACCGATATGAGGTGGCTAAGCAAGATGGCGCGGTAAGGAATCTTCCATCCTGTATCCAACTGCAGCTGTACTCTGTGGAGCTATGCTTGAAATTTTGACTTTTTTTATGCTTGATATTGTAGTATGATGAGGCTGAGAAAAGAAGAGAAATGGCAAGGAATTCTTTGGAGAGATACACTCACTATTATGAACGTTGGGCAAGCAATCAAACAGTAAGCCGAAATAGCCATCTCAAACTTGTACCTGCATTATATTTTGCTCATAATTGCATATGCTAGACTTATCTTTTTATAGTTTTTTATTTCTACCCATGGTCTCTTGTATTCCGATATTTGTCAAGCTCAGGGTTTCTTTTTTGAAGTTTTCGATGCACATGATACATGATTGTCTGTTTCTCCTGTGGTATGCTTTTTTATTTTCCCTTTTGATTTCTTTACTTCTTGTTGCTTGTCAACTTATTGTCATTTGAACAAAACGACGGAAAAGAAAGAAAGAAACAGGTATATAATTAGGTTCAGGTCTTGGTAGCCACCTTTCTAGGATATCATATCCTTGAAGTTCATGATGCCTAACATAGTAAAGCTGGGCTGTGTCTCAAATGATTAGCCGTGTGCAAACTAATCCCACTCTTTCAGATATTAAGATGTAAGGATAAAAGTATAATAGCCACATATTTTTTAATGGATAAAGCACTGAATAATCATTGATGTGGAGGAAAATTTTCTGGTTGAGGTTATTATACTTATTTCTTTGTTAGTACTTCATAATATTAATTACCTTCATCCTCATATCATTATTTACATTTAAAAACTCTTCCTCTAGCAATTTTTCAAAGTAAGCCGCATTATTTGTTATTAAGCAATATTGGCCAAACATTTTTTGGATAGCAGGGGTTACAACCGGTGAAACTTTTATATATTACGAGTGATTCCTAAAATGGGGAGGGAAGGTTTTCTTGTTTGCTTCTAGATGGATGGACTTTGTTAACCAACCTTTCATGTATCGTTTATCTTTCTTAGTGCAAGCTAATTGGTGAGGTCTTTTTAAACCTTGTTGGCTCTTAAGCGTGTATATTTCATCCTCCCTTATGTTTCTGTTTTTGTTTTTGTTTTTGTTTTTGTTTGTTCAATAGATTTTATTCTTTTCATGCTCTTAAGCTGCTTGAGAAGTTCGTGTTGTACATGGTATCTGGACATTGTGTTTTTGTACATGGTATCATCCTCCCTTGTGTTTTTGTTTGTTCAATAGATTTTATTCTTTTCATGCTCTTAAGCTGCTTGAGAAGTTCGTGTTGTACATGGTATCTGGACATTGTTCAGACATCTCTTTTTTATTATTTTTTGTTTATTGATCTTTGATGTTAGGATGTCGTTGTCCTTTGCAGTCTAGGCAAAAAGCACTTACAGATTTGAATCAAATGCAGAATGTGCATGTGAGTTTCTATTTTACTTTACAACTCTTTTTATGTTCAATTAGCTACTGAATTATTAGTGCTCCAGAGCTAATGATCTATAGAACCTTCTTATACTCTGTAGTTTTCTAATGATATCTATTGTTTTGGTTTCTGATGGATGAATAAAAAAAATCACATCACAAGATCTCTTTAGTTTCCACATGCACGTGATTTGATTACTCTGTGTTCTTTGGGTTTAGAGAAGAATTCTTATTTCTCGTTTTTCTTAGATTGAGAAGCTCAGTGATATTCACTGCACTCCTGAGTCTCAGCTAAAGTTCATAACAGAGGCTTGGTTACAGGTATGTTCTAAATTTGCCCGGCTATGAAATATTAGATTTCTTCGGTTCATCGATGCATACATTTTTGTTCTAGTAGTCTTTCAAGTTGTATGAGTAACAATTTAAAAAGTTATATAGTACAAGGATCCTCACAATGCTATAGTACAGTTTAGTGATCCATTACAGATGAATTCGACAAAAGTAACAAAAAGAATTTCTTTATTTTTTTCAGAGTTCGAGATGAATATTGTTCCAGCCCACCATTTTTGACCTCGTGTTCGTTTTCTGGTAATTTTTTTTTGTAGATAATTGAATGCAGACGAGTTTTGAAATGGACCTATGCATATGGATACTACCTGCCAGAACAGGAGCATGCCAAGAGACAGTTTTTTGAGTATTTGCAAGGTAATTGCGTTCTTGAGGTTCGTTTAAGGAACAATTTCTAAACGGTATGTTACTTAAAAATGGCATATTCCCGTCGCTACAGGTGAGGCCGAGTCGGGATTAGAAAGGCTTCATCAATGTGCCGAAAAGGAGCTACTCCAGTTCCTCAATGCAGAAGGCCCCTCAAAAGAATTCAATGACTTCCGCACAAAGCTTGCTGGTTTGACCAGGTAAGGAAGGCACATCCATGAGCACGACTCTGATTTCAAGTTAGAGCGTGTAAACATCAAAATTGATTTTGTAACTCAATGCATTTGTGTCTGCTGCATACAGTGTTACTCGAAATTACTTCGAGAACCTGGTTAGAGCACTAGAGAATGGGCTTTCAGATGTGAACTCCCACGGAGTGAGCAGTGGCACGAGCTCGAAAAGCACAGCAGGAAGTAGTAAAGCAGGGCGAAGCGGACGGGCTAAGGGGGGGATCATTCGAACCAGCAGTTCGACCAGAAACGACGACAATGCAACTCATTGGTCGTGCGAACACTGTACGTATGTGAACGCTAGATCCGCTACAATATGTGAGATGTGCCATCAACGCCATTGAAAACCTCTGGTTTCCCATCAATGGCTGAAAAGAAAAAGAAAAGAAAAAAAAGAAGAAAAAAAAGAAGGCGTTGCTGTTATGTGTTGAGAGATGAAATGGTCAAATGTGATTTCTATGTAAATAGTTGGCGGCAGAGTATAAATTAACAAATTTAATTTGTGTTGTGCAGAAGTGTTGCGTTCATTGATGGCTTAATGAAGAGCTAGTGAGACATAATTACTAGCCTTGAAATAATGCCATTGTTGTTTCTCTATCTTCCAACATTTGTTCTTCCTCATGAAAACTCATGAAAACTTGTGTCGATCTTTCATTCACCAACCAGATGTGTCAATAACAAGGTCACTTTTCCACTCTAGGACTAGGCAGGTCGATCCTCCCTTCATCTGACTAGAGGTGTGGATAACAAGATCACCTTCCCACTCTAGGATTAGATAGGTCGATGCTTCATTCATCCGACAGAGGTGTGGATAACAAGGTCACCTTTTCACTTTAGGACTAGATAGGTCGATGCTTCATTCATCTGACTAGAGGTGTGGATAACAAGGTCACCTTCCCACTCTAGGACTAGATAGGTCGATGCTTCATTCATCTGACTAGAGGTGTGTATAACAAGGTCACCTTCCCACTCTAGGACTAGATAGGTCGATGCTTCATTCATCCGACTAGAGGTGTGGATAACAAGGTCACCTTCCTACTCTAGGACTAGATAGGTCGATGCTTCATTCATCGGACCAGAGGTGTGGATAACAAGGTCACCTTCCCACTCTAGGACTAGATAGGTCGATGCTTCATTCATTCGACCAGAGGTGTGAATAACAAGGTCGCCTTCCCACTCTAGGATTAGATAGGTTGATGCTTCATTCATCCGACCCAAGGACACCTTCCCATTCTAGGACTAGGCAGGACTCTTAGACTGCTCAAAGCTCGTGCTCGTGCTTCAAAAGAGTAAAATATGAGATAATTTGTATAAATGTATCGCCATGCTATTAATTTTCTTTNGTTCTTTTTTTTAATCTAATTTGAGTTATTTAGTTTTCAAACTTTAGGGTGGAATATAGCGATGCAAATAAAAATAAAAAACTAAAAAAGTGAATTTATAAAATTGTAATTTGGACAATTTAATGAAAAAAAAAAAAAAAAAAGGAAAAAGAAAGAGAAGGGAAAGGAAAGAAGCAGAAGTGGCATTTCTAATTCACAATACAGTTTACATGCAGCGTTCAGTCCAGTCAAGCCACACATACTGTTCATTCACTTTCTCCTCGTTCCCTACACTCCACACGCATTTCTGCACTATCCACCGCCATTTTCTTCATCTTCTCAACTGCTTTCCCTCGTCTCCAAACCCTAATGTTAGCGTTTCGCTTCCATTCAAGGTACTTCAATTCGTCTTCCACCTTTTCACGTCAATGTTTGTCGAAGCTGCATTTGGTTACGGTTCATCTTCTGGATTTTGGCCCTTTTTTGTGCCGTTCTTGCGTTTTTTCTTCTCTTTGTTTTGGTATGACATGCATTAGGATCAGCCGAAAGTTTGCTGTTCAACGTGTTGTTTGTTTGTGTGTAAAATTGTTCTAGAATTAACCTGCTCTTTGTTTGAATTCATGGTGTAGGATGCGATGATCGTTTATCTTTTGAAACCTTGCTATTCTGTTAGGCGTTTTTGCTTTTGAATCCTGAGATATTTCGTCTCTCTCTTATGGTATAACATGCATTAGTATCAGATAAAAGTTTTCTGTTCATCAATCGTTCTAGAGTGGGTCTTTAACACATTCACGCTCTTCTGTTAGGACTTCCAAGATATCCGAAACTTTCTTATTCTTCACTTCTCTGTTTTAGAATTGTCTCCTGAATTGTGCATAAAAGAAATAGAAATCGTAAGTCTACGGTTTACTGTATCTTTAATGACAAAGTGTTCAGCTTGGTTGGAGTGTTTTGAGCTCATCAAAATTAAAACTTCTTGATGGTTATTCTTTTTATGATATTTGTAAGTAACTTACTTGCAATGATTTGTAACAATCTTCAGCTATGTTTTTTATTGTATTTCTTTTGAACTTGAGTCTCTGAGTTAATTTTTTTAAGATGAAATAATTAGTAATAGTTATCTAAAATATTCCGTTTTTCTCAGTTAAATTAAAAGAAGTAAATAAGTAAAAACTAGAAATAAGAAATAAAAAATGTAATACAAGAAGTTAAAAGTAAGAATTAGAAATAGGTGGCTGACTAAGATTTGAACTCATAAATTTAAAAAAAGAAAAAAAAAAAAAAAAAAAAGAACAATGATATTACTAGGACGTATGATCCCTTTTGAGGCAACAAAATTCAAAATGGAACAACTAGAAGGGTTTCTCGTTTCCATTAGATTGAACACGTGATTCTTCACTCTCGCGCACTTGGTGGTACAAGATCAACGTGGATCTAATTTGAGTAATTTCTTCACAAGCAGTTAATTATACTGCATGTTTTACTAACAATCAAGCTGCTAAAGTCTACACATGATTTGGTTTTTTCAACTCTATGCCAGTAGTCTGCCTATTCTGACACAATTTTTGTGTTATTATTAGCTTTATGTTAGGGAACATAAAGATTGAAAAATTGATTATTACTTGCTTGTGGTAAATCTTCATTTTTCTAGGTGTGAGCAGACTAGCGAGGAAGTTCGGTCCCTTGTTAGGTTCCATATATCCCTTTTTCCTTCAGTGTGTAAGGACCTATGGAACTATTTGTTAAGTTTAATCTTGTTTAATTGGAACCCTTTTCTTTAGCATGCCTCCTTTTTGGGTTGGTTTTTTTTTTTTTTTTTTTTTTTTTTTTTTTTTTTATGTTTTTTTTNGGTTCTACTTAATGAAGGATCAATTTTTTGTAAAAGAAAAAAAAATTCTTTGCCTAGTCACAGAGAATATGGTCAATTATGGTTCATTGGATGTGGAGGAAATTCTGACGGGGGAATTAATTTAGCTATTCATCTGGCAGCTCTTTTAGCGGCTCCCAATTTCTCATTCCAAGCAGCGTCAACCTAAGTCTGAATCCTTCTATGTTATTTTTCACCAGTGATGAAAAGTTTGGCGTCTGATTCTCAGAAGAGGATTTCATATATGAGAAATTGAGAAACAGTAGTGGTCCAAAAGAACATCCTAACAATGAGTGCACCAGGTGTATGCCCAACCGAGGATGCTATATTTACATTATTAGATTATTTAGTTGAACCCATGCTTCCTGCAAAGTCATTGTCGAGAGAAAATCCACCACAATCTCTTTTGCAATCGGTTGCAAAACAGGTACTTCTCAAATTACCTTTCATGTGTTTAATATTTTAATTTCATTCACTTTCAAGCTTGAGAATGTTCGAACAATCATAATCGAGCCAACAATTTTTTGGTTCTGAGCTGGGTGATTTGAGTTGATTTACTGGAAACATCAAAGTTATACAAGCAGCAATCCGTGTTTCAATATTCTTCCTTCTTTAGAGAGTACCAACAGTTTATGATGATACTATTACTCGTTCGAAGAATGTAATTTCTGTGCTCTCTCTTCCTCAATTAACCGTGTGCTTTAATACTTTGGATCTTTTGGAAGTACAGGATTTTATAAGCGTAGAATTACTTTTATAAGCATAGAAGTACAGGCTTTTACTGTTATATGATTAAAATGAAATATGTTTGAAGTAGGTTAGTTTTAACTGCATGTGACAGTTTATTACTCACCACTCCTTTTCAGAAGAAAAAAATTGTAAAGAGAGAAAAAAAGGTATCATCTAATCTTGAAAAGCTCGTTTATTGTCTTGAAAAAAAAAAACAAAAATAATGAGGTAGCATCTAACTTTTTGTTTTTCCCTTGAATCTACTACGGTAGGTGCATGCCGTTGTTCTGTTGTACAACTACTACCACCGGAAACAACATCCGCACCTTGAATTTCTGAGTTTTGAGGAATTTTGTAAGTTAGCTGTGGTCGTTAAACCAGCTTTGTTGTCTCACATGAAACTCATGCAAAACTCAGATGATATAGAATTGGAAAATCCCGAGAACCAGCTTTCTCCAGCCGAAAAGGCAATTATGGATGCATGTGATATAGCCACTTGTCTACAGGCATCAAAAGATGATGACGTAGAGGGCTGGCCTCTTTCCAAGGTTGCTGTTCTTTTAATCGACTCCAAAAGGGAAAGTTGCCATTTGCTATTTAGTGTCATCACTCAAGGAGTTTGGTCTGTCATTGAACAAGATTTGGATACCTCTGAATGTCAACCAGAAACTATGGACGAGGAAAAACATGTAAACAAAAAGAAAAGAGTGATCAAGAAACCTTCAAAAGAGGGGCCAGTTGATGAAATTAAAACTCAGCAGCTTGCATATTCAACAGTTAGGAAAGCAACAGGTTTGTATCTTACTGCATGAGCTCATCAGTGCGTTCAATAATTATATATTGTTCTTATAATCATAAAGTTATAAGTAGACATAGGATAATTACTTTTATTTTCTACCATTTTATTTTAGAGGCGATGTCCCATAGTGATTGTGTTTGCTTAAAAGATTCCTTTAAGAGTACTAATGATTGACTGCAAAGTTGATTGTCTGGTATATCATATCTTCCTCAATTAAGGATCATGTATGGTTAACTTTTAGGAAATAAAGATATCCATCATCCATTTTTTGGTCTTTCCGAATCAGATTATTTTGGTTAAATTGCAAATTTGGTCCCTTCAGTTTGGAGAAAGAATTTAGTTTCTATGGTTTTAAATGTTAAAATGTTCCTACAGTTTGCTAAATCCTCATAAACAGTCTCTAATATTTATGAAGTTTTGTCAAAGCATCAGGATAAAATTCTAACTTTTAGAACCACGGAGGCCAAATTAGAACCTTTTCCAAACTAGAGGGACCAAATTTACAATTTAACCATTACTATTTAATTTTGGTGTTGGTTGGATGATCTTAAGGTGCCTCATCATATTGGTTGTGTTTATGTCCTCTTTCTATTCTCTTCTGTAATTACCTTAAGAAAAGGGGAAGAACTTAGATCTAGCATGACATTGTTTGGAGTATACGTACAAAAATAAACTAGTCTTTTTAAGGGAATACATTGTTTAGAACTCAGATCATCATGACATTGTTAGGATTAATCTTCAAAACATTGTCTGGACTAAATTGTTCCTTTTGTAATTACTATTTTAGGTATGTGGCTCATAACTTCAAGGAATATATTAATTTCTTCAATGAAAAAGTTCTATTTTTTGTTTAAAAAAATTTATGGAGAATAAATTTAGTAACCAAAGAACGCAGTCTGGTAGCTACCCCCTTCACCCGCATCCTCCCTTGTTGACCTCATCTAGACATTGTATTTTTTCTTTTTGAGGTCTTAATGATGCAAAGTCAGTAAGAGTGCCTAAAGGATTTGGAACATTCTACGCAGATGGGAGGATGCTTGTTTGCAGGCATAATTTGGTATAACTTGTGGGAGGCTTTCGAAGCAAATGGCATGTTGCATGTCATGTCGGTCTATGATTGAAGGGTGACACTTTGGCAGACTGCTTTCTTTGCTGTCCGAGGGGAGCATCAGCCACTTCGAGGGAAATTCTATATTTCTTGCCCAAATTTTTTACATAATTTTTTTTTCATTTATTCAACGAAAAGTTTTAAAAAAGAAAAAGTTCTATCCTCAAACCTAGTCCTTGTTAGGTTTTGACACCCTAATGCAATTCACTTAATGTGACACACCTCCCTCCTCAAACCCTCCAATAGAAATTCCCTTGTGACCATTCCAACTTTTCCTTGATGGATCCTTGAATGTTGAAAAGAAATAAAGCACAAGAGGTTTCTGATGAGTCTTCCCCTTTAGAGAAGAAAGATTTTCTCCAAGAAGCTCTTCTGAAAATTTCAATCGACTTAAACAAATTGAAGTCTTTTATCACTCTTAAGATTAGTTTTCTTTACATCCAATTCTTAAATGAATGCTCGTTCAATCATAAAACTGTTCATTCAGTCCAAATATATCTATGCCTTTTTAAGATTTTCAATTATTCTATAGTCCCCTAGAGAGCATATTATTGGATTTTGCCTAGCTTTATGCAGCAATGTAGTGGAAAAAAATTCATGTAGGCTATCCTTTTTTGTTGCCATTATTACTCTTGCAGTCCTATATTATACTATTGGCACTTATCTTTGGTGCTTACCAATAATTTCTGATCCTATTTATTTTCATGCAAAACAGGGATTAATCAAAGTGATCTCAAAATTTTAGAAAGTCATGTTGTATACTCTCATAGTAAAGCGAAATCAGCAGTCTGCTTTTATGTGATTCAGTGCACTCGATCAGCAACTGAAGATGTAATTCAAGTTCCCATTAAAGATACCATTGACAGGTTTTACTCTTTTCCTTTCCCACCTGTCCCCTTTAACCTTGTGTCTTGGTATATTTTTTGCTGTCCCACCAGCTTCTAAAATGTTTAGGTTAGTAAATGGAGCTGGGTATTTGGTTTGAATGCATATCCCAGGACCTCATGTGCAATGAGCATGGATGTAGGTCGGTCATCGAATCCATAGATACCTTTTTTGCTCATGATTTTTTTTTTTTGTTTTCCATGGTATTAGTTTGCAGGATTCGTTGTTTAAAATAAATGGTAGGAGATGGAGCATTACCTCAAAAGTTGAGTACTTCCACATTCTTCCATATGCTAGGATGATGCTAATCTGGTTTCATGGGTATACACTTAATTGCTATTGATATTAGTATTACCGTTGGTATTTATTTATTCATCTACATAACTTGATAATCTTTATCTTGCTTATTGTCTTGTTTATTTCTGCTTCTTTGCTGTATCTAACCACTTGCTCTTGCTCAGCAATGTGAGGGTTAACAATCATTCGTTTAACTTTTACTTCATTCGATATTAATTTTTTCTCTTACTTGATTTCATTCTCTGTTTTCATTCTCTGTTGCTATATCCAACCTCCTAGCTCATGCTAGTTACCTGTATGGGAGGGTTTATTCCAAGCGCTGATTCTCAGTCATTTATCCTAAATCTCCCATTTTAGTAGTTTGCATGTGTGGAGAATAGCCCCTTTTGTAATGAGTATTTTCCTATTATTGAAATATCTATGATTACTCACATACATGAGAACGGAAGTTCTTTTTGCTACATAATGGGAAGCGTTGTTATTCTTTTTTGACTTGTATACGGAAAGGTGATTGCATACTAATATCTCTATGCTCTCTTTCACGTAGGGTAACTTCAACCAATAGTTTGCGAGTCATAGGTGGAGCAAAGGTTGATGAAAACTTGAACAAGCCTGAGAGAATAGATGTAACGAGAACACTTGAAATTCAAGACAACCAAGATGGTGCTAATGCATACAATTTGAATAAAGGGACTAGCACTTACGGTGAAGGATTGGAGAGACTGCCAGATAAAACTAACTATATCAGTAGTTTGAATGATGTGATGTGCAGGCCCCAGAATTCTAATGTGGATGACTTGGTTCCCTCCTATCCAGTGGAGAAGAAAAAGGATGTACCAAATACTAGCCAAGTTTTCTTTTCCTGTACAAAGAAAAAGAATGCCAGGCAAGTTGACAATAGCTATGCAGTGATGATCCCATGTATGGTGAATGAATCAAATGCCTCAGAAAGTGGCATCAAAGTCAAGGTAAGACTTAGGAGTATCTTCAGATACTTATCTAGTCGATTTAATATTTATATTTAGGTATCTTAAGATACGTGGTTTGTCTAAATTTCATATTTACCAATAAGACTCCTGATGTTTATGGGACGTGATAATTTTTGTTGCGGGATATTTTGTATGATTTGTTTTCTTTTTTGGTACTTTGTATGCATGATTTAATAACTCAAAACAAGATTCTATGTCGAGACCTATCGGCCGAGGGACAGTCTTGAGGATGAATTGATGTGGTTCCTTTATGCTTTAGACACCACGAAAGATAATACTGTGTTTTTTGTTCAAGTTTTTAATGGATTTTATTGAAGAACTTACATATTTTGAAGGAATTGTTAAATCCTTTGAAAAATGATTAATTACTTCTCAATTTACAGGAGTATACTTCGTGTGCAACTTATTAAATGCTTAAGCGAGGAAACTGGAAAAGAAAAACTAGATTACAAGGTGCTCCCTCTAAACATAGGGCACAACAAGATAGTTTTGTTAAGTCCCATTAGATTACAAGAGAACCAAGTAATCCTTTGTTATATTCATGAAATGCTATCTGCAGCAACTTTGATAGAATAAAACAGAAAAACTCTGTTGTAGAACTCATAGAAAAAATTAGACAAGTATTGAAATGAAGGATAGGGAAGATGTAATCGTCCATAAGATGTTTAAAGAAAGAAAGAATTCGGAGTTTCTCCCTGGATTTAATGTGTTACAACCTTAGCATAAAAAAGTCGAGAGCAAGAACTTTCAACCAAGAATCTTTCTTATTATTCATTTATGTCATTAAGAAAAATCTATTATGAATGAGAACAAATTAATTCCAAGTATTAGTTTAAGTTTCGGATTCAGTATTCATTTTACATGGAACCAATGTAAGAGTTCTTGAATTCAAATTCTGCATGAACACATTTTCACTCCAAATCAATTATGCATAGGATGAGCTTGTTAATCAAAGGAAGATTTCAATATTATCTGATATCTTTTAATGAAGAAGTATTAGTTTTATTGTCTTTTATTTATAATTCAGCTGAAAGCATGATTTACTTTCAGGATAGGATATTGGCAGCGAACCCTTGTCTTGCTGAATGCAGTGGTGAAAAGATTGCTTCTGGAAATCTCTCTGACAATATTTCACTTGATCAATATAGGAATGGTGATCATGCTCTTGTCACCTGTCAATCGAACACAGAGCATCTTACTAAGTTACAGGAAATTATAATTTCAAAAGAAACAGCATTGTCACAAGCTGCGATTAAAGCTCTAAGTAGGAAGAGGGATAAACTGGTACACATACATTTTATATTGTGGTTAAGTTAGGGCTTATGGTTTTCTGATGAATTTAATTTGAGCTAGAAACTATGTTTCAAAGTTCAACATAATGCAAAGAATTAGAATATGTATTCTGTAGTAAAGAACTGAGATTATGCTTGGTCTCAAGTTCTCCTTTGCCTAACATTGGATGATGAGTGTAGGAAAACAATTATGCTTGCTCTTGTATCTTGTTATATGCACCTTACAATAGTATTCCAGTGTCCCTTTTTCTCTGACCAAGGGTTTCATATAGATTGAGCCCTTTTGAATATTGATATTTCATAATTTTTGTTTGGAAAGTGAAGTCCATTCATTCTGTTTGCAGTCTCATCAGCAGCGTATCATTGAAGATAAGATAGCTCAGTGTGATAAAAACATGCAGACAATATTAAGGGGTATGCTCTATTTTCTCTTTTCCCTTTCTGTTTTGTTTCTACAGTTTTGTTTATTTTGCATGTTTCATGTACAAGGCCTCTAGAATTTTAGATAATTTCGTCCGTCAAATACTAGCAGTCCTCTGTCCTCTCTTTTATTTCAGTTTTGATTGATGAACCCCTACCCTCAACTTTCTATGATTTATAGTCTTATAAGCCCGTGGTGCATCCAAGAATAGATAAAAGTATTTTGCAGAGATTTATTTGAGACTAAGGTTTGAATTATTGTTAGATCACTATTCTAAGGATCATACAGATCCTGAGCTACAAATGGAAATAAAGTTCGAATTCTTAGATTTGATATTTGACATTTGTCACTGCTTTACTAAATCGTTTGATGCCTATACTGGAGCTAAGTTTTTAATATTAGTGCAAATTGATCAATTGTGTCAAACTTGAACAATTAATATTAGAAACTCAGAATTAAACTATAAGGATGTAATGAAAGAAATCCAAATTAGTTTAGTGTATCTTAGTATTTTAGATAAAAGAAAAATATTTGGTAGTGCTGCTGGCAAAAACATGTGGCGTGCTTCTCCTAACCTAAGTACTCATGATAATGTTTTTTATTTTTAACTAACACTAAAAATATATCCAACTAAATTTGAACTTCAGTCTTACTTCGTTCCCTGGTTTTGCTTTCTTATTTTATTCCATAAATATTTTGTAGATTTTATTTTGATCTTCTTTCATCAGATCAAGTTAACCAACAAGTCATCATAATAGCCAGAGAAAATGTCTAAATTACTTTATATTTTGGTTACTAAAGGTGATGAAGATGGTTTGGTTATAAAGCTGGATTCTGTGATCGAATGTTGTTATGATGTCTGCATAAGAAGTATTGCTGAAGATAGATCTTATCAATGCTTTGAAGAAAACTGCTCATCTCAATATGGCACGAGTAAGAGATTGTCAGAAGCAATTCTCTGCGTACAGAATCCATGTCAGGTGGGTTAACCATGGAAGATAATAATATTATAAAATTTCGTACTCAAGGGTAGTTGCATGGTTGTATTTGTGGTGTACATGTTTTGGTAAGAAACTGAGCTTTCATTGAAAAAAAAAAATGAAAGAATGTACGCAAGCATACAAAAAACAAGGCAATTAAAGGAGTCCCCAACTACAGAAAAAAAAACGATTAACATCCTCTAAAGCTACATAAAACCTCACTCTCTCCCGTACCTCCACCAAAGACCTTGCAACCCCTTGAAATAATGGGAAACATGACTTTCATTACAAGAGATGAAAGCAAAGAGAGGCTACAAGAAAGACTAGAGGGGCATGTAAGGAACTCTTCCAAAGAACAGCCAAGATAAAATTATAAAGCACAGAAACATGGAACACGTTGATCTATTAATTCGAACAGCTGAATTAGAAGAATAAAGTTCTGTTAGATTGCTTTGTTATGGTTTAGTATACAGGTTGGAAATACTTGTACTAAAACAAAATACACCTGCCATAGGGTAACCCACGGACTGCCACCATCTAAGCTGTTTACTATTTTATCATAGAGATGTAGCTACTATCACCAATATCATTGTTATCATCATCAAGAAAACTTTTAGGCATTATGTCCCTATTATAAAAAAGTGGAATGAAAGGAAGATGGGAATGAGGGATCAAAAGAGTTGTCCTAGGGGTGAGTTAAAAAAAAAATAAATTAAAAGAGACTTGGGAGTTATGGCTATTACTAAATTATTACTAAACCCAAAAGCTTAAACTGATGGATTATGGTAAAGTTAATTTGATTTCTGTGCTTTTATCCCTTTGCTGATGGGCTTGAATTTTTTTCCTTATAAAAAAAGGTACTAGTTTTGTCTACTTGTCATAGTATGTTTTAAACTTCTTTATGGTCCCTCTTTGGATGGTAATAATATCAGTGTTGATACTAAATTTCTTTAGATATACTTTTGTTTATGATAATTGTAGAAAAACCCAAATCAAAGCTTAAGGGTGACTTCAAATTGGTCTCTTGCCTATATATCGGACAATAACTTTCATTATTTCTACAGGCATTTAAGAGAAAAGAAATGATAGTCTGCTATTCATTTTTCTTTTATTATTTCTACATTCGTTTACCTTTGCAGTTGTATATTTAATAATGCTCTTTTGGCATGGCAGGAACTGGATGACATATGTCGTAAAAATAATTGGATATTGCCCGTTTACGGAGTCTCGACATCAGATGGTAATGATATGCTATTTTAGAAAATTTGTCCATAAACGTACTAAGGACCAATTTAAGATTTATTGAAAATAAAAGGACTAGAATATTGAAAGTAAAAAAGCTAAAGTAGAATAAAACTCAAGTACAAGGACCAAAATGGTATTTTAACCTTTACTTTTGATTTCAAGTTATTTGTATTGCCAATCATTTGTATTTTATATTGTGGGTTCTCCCTCTTGCATCTTGAAATATTCTTGCTAATATGAAGTATTTACTCAGAAAAATGTACAGTGGGTTTCAAATTTGATGGTGCTCATTCTACCTCCTGTTTTTTCTGGTTTTTTGCACATGTCTGATCATGCATTGTTCTGCTGTACTTGCAATTTGAAATCATTTCTCAGTATCTAATATGGAATAGGAAATGTATTGTATTGTTTGTTCTTCTGAAGGTGGATTCCAGGCTAATGTGCTTGTAAAAGGGATGGATTTTGCATATTCAAGCTGCAGCGAGCTGTGTCCAGACCCTTGTGAAGCCAGGAAATCGGCTGCAACAAAGATGTTAGGTCAACTATGGACGATGGCAAGTCAGACCAAGCAGTTTTAGGTGCCTTAGTATGAGCCTGAGGCTGGTTTTATAGGAGACTAACAAAACCTAGACAACTATCTATTTTCTTCTCTTGGCACTCTTTAATATCATCCTGATATTTATTTTAGGTATATATTCTATTTTTGTGTCTAAACTTTGATGCACGACAGCCACAACTTGCACCCCTGCAACAGATTGGCCTCGTGCACAACGAGATGGGAATGACTGTAGAGTGTTTTGACTCGAGAGCATAGCATTGAAAATATGGACAGTTTATGATTAACAATAGTTCATAACTCCCTGAGAAAAGCCAAAATCAATAGATCACAACTCCTTGGTGCCATTTAGGACTCCCAACTCCAAAATTTTGGACAAGTTTACAGCTTAGAACTTCAAACAACATTTCTAAGAGAATTGTTTTGTTTTGATATAAGAATTGAACACAGGCCAGTTGGAGTGGAATCTTGAACTTTCCATTTCCTTAAGCAAAGCCACTTATTGGTAGAACAGCCTCAGTCCCAGAAACACATTCATCTTCCACGTATGGAATTGTTCTCCATACATCCAACTTCATGGGAAGACTCGCTGTTCCTGTAATTATACCAAAGTATAAGCTTATATCAATCACCAAGTGTTACTGTTTGATATCGTAAAAGTGAACTTCACCTCTAATATTCACGTCTTTTTTCATGCAAACAGCAACATAATGAGAACCCAACAACTCCATCAAAGCAAACGTCACATTTCTTGAGCAGTTTTCGGGATCATCACGAGGCTCTACACTTACTTCATAAGCCTGGTACAACATAGCAGCCATTTATGAAATTCGTAGTACAAGAACCATGAAGAAAAAATGGTTGTTCATATTCTTTAAAGCATTGTAAAAGAATAACCCAACAAGCTGGCTACATGCTTATTTGGTAAAGCCTATATGACAAACAATATAGGGTTCACATTCCATTTCGAATCTCCCGTTTTTTCTCTCGCTCTTCGAGTCTTGATGAATGGCTTACCTTCTCATTAGTTTCACACCCAGGAAGACATGAACCTCGAGCAGTTCTGTTGAACCGAATAGTGAAAGTCTTGAAAGGAGTAGCTGAGAAGCCCCTACCCAACGCTTTGACATATGCCTCCTATAAAAGTTTCAGTAAATGAATTCTGGTTACACCAATAAAAAGGAAGAGAAGAAATTTTCAAATGCAGATGAAGTGACTTTATACCTACCAGAAATTTCCCATAATCAACCATGCACACAAGATAAAAATCGAGAATATAGTTTAGAGGTAATAATAATAATAATGATGTGAGATCCCACATCGATTGGAGAGGGGAATGAAACATTCCTTATAAGGGGTGTGAAAACCTCTCCCTAGTAGATATATTTTAAAACTTTGAGGGAAAGCTCAAAAACGAAAGCCCAAAGAGGACAATGTCTGCTAACAGTGGGTTTTGACAGTTACAAATGGTATGAGAGCCAAACAATGGGTGGTTTGCCAACAAGGACGCTGAGCCCCGAAGGTATGTGGATTGGGAGGTCTCATATCGATTGGAGAAGGGAACGAGTGCCAGCGAAGACACTGAGCCCCGAAGGGAGGTAGATTGTGAGATCCCCAGATCGATTGGAGAGGGGAATGAAGCATTCCTTATAAGGATGTGGAAACCTCTCCCTAGTAGTAGACACATTTTACATTTTAAAACCTTGAAGAGAAGCTCAGAAGGGAAAGCCCAAAGAGGATAATATCTCGACATACATTAGCTTTACAGACGTGCCTAAGATCTCAAATGCAATTGTAAGTAGAAAATCGATACGTCATGGACGCTATTGCAACTCACCTTCAGAGTCCATAATTTGATGAATTCCTGCCGCTGGATTTCAGGATCTGAAATAGCAGATAAAACTTCTATTTCATTTGGAGAAAAGAAACGTTTAGCAAAAGCTATGATGTTGTTCTTTATTTTTCGTGTCTTCTCTTCCACATCAATACCAATCTGAATTAGAAATCACACAAGTTAATTATGTTTAACAATTTAAATTATTTACTCATTACAAATCCAAAGAAGATATAGCAGAAGTTGAAAATATAGCATGTAAAGTAGACACTTACTGGAGAATTCATAGTCACTCCACATGCTATTAAGGATGAAGAATGTGAGATGTTGAATTGCAATGGTGGTAGACACAGTTCACTGCTAATTCGCAAATCTAACTATTCAACAATTATATAAATATGAACAAATGGAAAAACAAAAAACGAAGAGAACGTGAAATTACACAAAACCTCGAGAAAAATCGAACGTAAACAGTAAATAAATGAAAAGAGGAAAAGATATCACCTCAGGCTTCCCAAACATATTCTTTTTAAACATCAAGGCTTGTGGATCAATTTGACAATGAGAAACATCTAGAAAGAAAATAGCATAATTCAGGCATAACTGCAAAAAAGAACATGCACGGCATATTTAAAATATATGGTAAATATCGCCACTATACTCTTTCATTTTCATTTCCAAATCTCAAGCCGAAATAGGATTCGTTTTGGCTAGAGCGCCCAAACCCGCTGAAAGGGTGCTCTCCAATCTTTTGATTAGGAAAGCAGCACATACCAGGGGTAGTGACTGTTTATTAAAAACACAGGATTCTGCTAAGTGGTAATACGATGTATAGAGACTGACACCTGTCTGGTGCCAAAAAGTTTTCATCGTGCAAGTCTAAACATTACAAATGATAACAATAAAAGGACTCACATCTTGAAAGGGTAGATCGTACCAAAGCACGGGCTAGCAAGGCTCTTTTTTGAAGCTCCCCTTCTTGTATTTTCATAACATTCACCTTTTCATTTGGTGAGAGTAGATTTAAATAATGATTTTGAAGATCTTTATTCTTTACTTCATCAGGTAAGATATACCAGATATGGGTTTCCCTGAAAAGCAAGAAAATAATAAAGAATAAATCTTGGCGGTCGGGATCATTCTAAAATACTGAGAAATCTTGTAAGCTACATGATCCACATAATCACCAAATGATGCATGCATTATACAACAATAGGCCACTGAACATTGAAATGTGCAATAGGACACTCCACATTGAAATGTACCATCAGTAACGGCCCAAGCCTAGTTTAAATTATAACAGCCCAAGCCACCACTAGCAGATATTGTCCGCTTTGGCCCGTTATGTATCACTGTCAGCCTCACAGTTTAAAATGTGTCTACTAGGGAGAGGTCTCCGCACCCTTATAAGGAATACTTCGTTCCCCTCTCCAACCGATGTGGGATCTCACATAAAATCCATAATGACAAATGCTCATACATTTTAGATGGGAGTTGCATGGGAACAAGAGGGGATGCAGCAGTGGCAAAACTCCTTGGGAAAAAATGCATGTTTGTTCTGGTTCTTGCTCTATGAAGAGATGAGAACATAGATGCCGTGAACTGTACATATGATCGATCGTTGATAAAAGTCAATTTATGACCGTGGCTCCATCGAAGCAACAAAAAATTACCTGTAATAAAGTGAGATTATTGAAGACATAAAATGTGAAAGGACCAAGATCAAAAAAATGAAGACCATCGTCTATAACAACTGAATTAGAAAATAATAATCAAACAAGGATTTAATCTAAGCTACGTGCCACCTTGAAAAAATACATGCATCTAATCATATAAACATATGCCCTATCACTTGCTTATTAATTCTCATGGCGTTGTGTGATCATCCCCCTCAATGGCATATGCCCCATCGCTCTATGGCTATGAAAAACATAGATTCCAGAAAGAGTAGTCTAATTATGAGTGAAAAAACATAGAAACCAAATATTGACATGATTTATGCCCAACATAAAATAAAAAACATATTGCAAACAATAAGTAATTGCATTGCATGTTATTAAAACAAACCTCAGCTCGTTTCGCCTCGTTCTTGCCTGGTGTTGGCCGAAAATGAAAGATATCGCAGGCTTCACAACAATCGAGGCTGTCTGATCAAAATTTTCACCAAAAACAGGAAGCATTCTCAGAGATGAAAAGCGAGAAATTGAAACATGGGGAGAAAGGGGGAAAGTGAAGAAAGTACCGATGGTGGCAATTGCATTTGAGTGAGGAGAAAGACGACGAAGACCGGAGAAGAAGATCGAACCTGCTGGCGTTGAGGAGAATAACCAAAAAAAAGTGCATGGCCATTGCTAGGGCTAGGGCTTTCGTGGGCCGTCGATGAAAGTTCGCCCGTATCCTACTTTGACCCGACCCGACCCAAAACGATTCCGTTTTGTAAAGTAATATGATGTTGGGTAATGGATGAGGTGTCTTTTATTTTTATTTATATTTTTTTCGTAAATACAATCTCCCCTAAGTACTATTTAAAAAAAATATTTATGAAATCTTAAAAGTAAATTTCATTCTTCGAATTCTCCTCCAAACTCTTCGTTCTCCAATTTTTTTGGAATTTTCTTTCTAATTACCCTCGTACCTTTCCCTCATACCTTACCTTATCATAAGGTAGTCATATACTCTTTTTGCTCATAGAGACTATTACCCAAATACCTTACCTTACCTTATCATAAGGTAGTCATATACTGTTTTTGCCCAAAGAGACTATTACCCTAAGACCTTCAGAGGTAGGAAAGGCTAAGGAAATGCCTATTACCCTCATACCTTTTACCCTAAGACCTTCAGAGGTAGGAAAGGCTAAGGAAATGCCTATTACCCTCATACCTTATCAGGAGTAGGAAAGGCCTATTACCCTCTGACCTTATCAGGAAAATGAAATTGCCTTAGTTCAATTTTAATTTAGAAGTGTTGAGATTTTCTTAAGAGCCTCCCACAAGCCTTCAGAATAAGAGCCTCCCACAAGCCTTCAGAATAGTGTTCGAGTCATAGTAATGAAATGGTATTCGAATCATAGCAAGAAAGATCTTCTGTCCCGTCCCGTGTCCCGTGGAATATTGAACTCATAATGCCCTACTAGTCCCGTTGAAACAAATTTCATCTTTTCAATATGTTTCGTATCATTGCTGTTCAACCGTTAAACCAGATGACATTATCAGAACCAACAACAAATACTAGAGAGAGAGACCGAGAGAGAGACCAAGAGAGAGTCACTCAACAGATTTCCATTGCAATGAAATTCCCGACTTTACATCAAACCTAATAGAGGAAACCTTTCTTTTCTCTAGCCATTCTTTTTTCTTTTGTTTTGGGGGGTGGGGTGGGGTGGGTGGGTTAATAAGAGGATTCCATTTGTAATAAACTAATAATTATCATCAGAAATTAGATTCATCCTCCGCAAATTTCAATAAAAACTTCAAAATTGAATGCTTCGGATCATCCATGCCTTCTTCTTCTTTATCTTTAATCTTGAACACAGCTTTCATTATCCGAGTATATAGTCTTTCAAGCTGTGGAATTCCATACTTCCCACTCCGCTCCACAAGCACGTTCTTCACCGACTCGACTTGCCTCGCGATATACCCATCCGATACCCCAGCATCTTGTGAACCATTCCAATCTGTGAAATCAGGGACCTGTCTACCAGAACCTTCACACTGATTCCCACCATCCGGACAGGTTTTTGAACTTTCATGACTCACTTCGTTCATTTCGATATCGGGAGATGGCTTTGGCGCAACTGAATCTTGACGCGGTGGTGGCTTCTCTTCTGTTTGTAAAGCTGTCAGTCAAAAACTTAATACCAAGAAAGAAGGGAATGATATAGTAGCAAAAAGGCAACCAATTTTTTGGATACCAAAACCATTAAATCCTACCAGAGAAGCAAACAATTCATTGCAAGATGAAATGGGTTTTGCAAAATCCTAGCAATCTATTGGGCTAAAAAACTATGCCTACTTGGAACCTAGACATGATTCTGTACATTATCCCTCAGTTTAGCCAACCCATGTTGGTCGGGTCTAATTATGTGATCAGGCAATCAGCAAATGCACTAAAAAAGTAAGAAGCCATAACCAACCACCATTTTTGAAGTAAGAACCCATAACCCATGACCAACAATCAACAATCATTTCCGTGAGACCTAATCTTAAATGTGTCAAGTAATAAGTTTATTTTCATGCACGGACATATATACATATACATAGCTTAACCTCCATCCGTATTCAGAGCTTGAAATGGGGTGGGGCTACTTCGGAGTAAAAGAATATATCTTCAGTATATTTCACGATTTAAGACACATATATAAAAAATATAAAAAATGAACTTCTAATTGGCGTTTATTCACACAGTACCTGCATGATGAGCAGCATCCACATTCTTCTTTGGGCGTTTTAATGCCTCATAACTTCGATTGAAATCAAGGTCTGGGTGGACATTACGCAATCGAGCACTAGCTCGAGTAGCAGTTCCCAGCTGCACAACTGGGGTAGATGGAAACATAGTTCCACCAAGTTCTTCGGGCATGTTCAGAGGACCACCTTGGGCAGCTATCTTGTCACAGAATGCAATCAGCGCGGGATCCATCTGCGTCAGCATTCCATGCACCTGTGGATAGAGATATCAATGCTGATGAGGTCACTTAACTTTAGATGAAACTCATGTAAAACAAACAAATGAACATACTGCATCTCGAAGCTCGTAAGCTCTGCTAACAATCCGAGCACCATTGTAGTCATTTCCATTATAAGCCTGAATCAAATACAAAGTCTATAAGAATTCATTGCTCATTAACAAATGTGGGTAAGAAAAGCTCAGTAGAAGTGACCCTTTCTTTTGTTTTATTGGGTTGAGAAACACACTGGTTTCATTGATTTTTTATAGAAACACCCGATTTATTAAAATAATTAGAACAAAACACGCTCAAGCACCAAATCCACGCACACAAATGGGTATGAACACAAAGAAATCATATCTGCTAAATCAAGTTTGCCCCACAAAATTCTGGCAGTAACTCTTACCCAAGCCTCCAACATAGCAACTAATTGACCTTATTAATGATATTAGACCTATTCACTATCTACTACAGTTTGAATTGCGTAAACAACCCACCAGAGAGATGTTCAAATATGATTTAGTACAAAATGGAAAAAAAAAAAGAATATTATAGGTCCATAGGGTTGCCTCTGGGCAGTATATTGCTTGATCTCTATTTGGACGCTGTCTAAATTACTTAAGTTCATTGTTATAAATAATATTTATTTATAATTTTATTTAGACGTCTCGATTCACTTGGATGACACCCTTGCACAAACACTACTCGACATACTTTCACACAAATTTTCATATTTTTAGGTTAGCTAATTCAATCAACACGTAGTTTATGTAGAAAAATCTGTTATTAGGAGTACCTTTGCATTAGAAACAATAAGATCTACATCTTGGACAAATGCTGAACAAGTAATATACTGCCCAGCGTCAACGTGTTGAAGTAATGTAGCCATGTCCATTGGGTTCTGGACCACTGAGCGGTAATTGGGAGCTTCCTCATCCAGAACAGGGTAATGGAAGACAGTAAACCTTTTATCATATAAAATCCTGCCAGACAGAAAATACAAAATCTATTTAAACAAAAAAGAAAATGAAAAATTCGGCAAACAAATTCAAATAAAGGAACGTAACTGTTCACTTGAAGTCTTCAAATTTGCTAACCTTTGAAAAAGAAGTAAATTAAAAAAACCTACAGATTGTACAAAAAACCCTATTTCTTCCCCAAAATAATCAAATCCCAAACACAGCAGAAACCTTTCAGTAAAAGAAAAAGATGCAATTCTAGGTCTTAAAAAAGAAACAGAGGGAATCCAGCCTTCATCCAGATGACTAAGTCGAATAAATAAAACAAGTACTGTATGAGGTCGGTAGTTTACAGAAAACAAGCAAAATAAGTACCAAAGGACTTAAAGAGTCTGGAGCCCAAAGGCAGACAGAAGGAAAGTTCTTTGAAGGAAATGCTAAGAGTTTATGGAATTGTCCAGTGAGAGCTATTTTTTTCGATGGTTTGGAAGGAGAAAAACTAAAGAATTTTTAAAAATAGTTCCATCTTCAATGTATTGTTTTTGACGTAATGTACAATATATTACGTACTCAAACCAAAAGAAATTATTTTGTAACTACTCATGAATCTAAATGATTTAAAGGCTTCAATTGTGAAATTTGCTAATTTGGGTGGGGATTCTCTTTTCCCCTACCCTTAGGTTTTTCTCCCGTTTGTGTTTATAATACATCCCTTGTTTCTTATCCGAAACAAAAACAGAAGAATTCAAAAGGTAAAAAGACTAGGTAGTTGAATAATAAATTTGAAATGAAGTTTGATAATTGTAAAGAACAGGACTTTCATTGAGAAAAAGAAGGAAGATAGAACATGGTTACAAGAGAACAACGCACGACAATTAAAGTCATTGGTTCTATAATACAGTTCAGCAAATAATCCTCATAAGTACATAATAAAATGACTGTTATCATAGCATGGGATCTCACCTGTTGCAAACATCTCTAAGGCACATGCGTAATCGTCGAAGGGCATGCTGTTCAGCTTCTACCTTGGCCCTTAACTCAGAAGCCTTTGGACCACTGGCTACTACTGGAGCCTTGGGAAGTTCAGGAAGGGATCCTGACACTTGCACTTTTTTCTCCATGCCCTCCAGCAAAACTGAGGAAGCAGCCTCAATTAAATGGGTAAAAAACAGAGACTTATCTTCACTGGACGGAGGACTGACTTGATAGCTGGTAATTAGACAAGAAAAAACGGAACACATTAAGCACAAATAGTTATTCATAAACAAAAAAAATATTATAAGCTGATGTACTTTCTGTATAAAAGATTCTAAAAAGAAATACCATAAAAGCAGAATTATTCATCTCTTTTGTCAATCAACTACTAATTACTTTTTTCTTAGTAAACCAATTTCATTAAAAAGAACGAAAATATATGTAATCAAAGAAAGTGGAAAATTACAAGGAAAAAACAACTAGGAAAAAATCAAACAGAGAAAGCAGTTAAAAGAACCCCCTGAATCATAAAATATCTTCCTATTCATTCTCAAGCCAAATCTAGCAAAAACCATAATTAAAAAAATAAATAACAAAAAAATAAAAAATAAAAACTTTCAGAAGGAACAATCAAAAGAAAAACAACAGACCACCCATACGGATTACAAAATTGATCAAACTACAAAGGGTGTTTTCAGATGAAAAGGATGCCATCCAATTAAAATTACTAAGCTATAGTGACATTATGGTCTAAACCAACAGACCCTTTGTTGTTCCATATGAAAAGGATATAAGAATCGGAGTTGTTTAGAAGCAACAAAAGGATCTGGTTTTAAAATATGTATCTAAATGTCATTTATGCATAATAAGATAATAAACAAAGCTTAATTTCTTAGTAATAATTTCACTCAAAGTAAAAGAAGGCATACATTACGCGATCAGGAAAAATCATAGAAGCTTTCTCATCAACTTCAGCAAGTGAAACTAAAGATGTTCCGAGCAGTAATATGGGTAAGTCAGAAGGTAGCTCCTCTAAAAGAGTCAATAAAACAGCTCTCAATTGCTCATCTGCCTGAAATGTCCACCATTAAACCAACCCAGCACATTAAATGATGTTAGAATACTAGTAAAAATAAAATAAAATAAAATAAAGCATTAATGCCTAAATATTGAGTATCTCGAGTAACAAACTCACCGTCTCCCACCAACAATGAAATTGAGGTAGATAGAGTATTGATGGAGTAGTCCTTCTTGCTTCACCAAATATATGTACCAACGCTTCCTCGGGTGTCTTTGCACTTGGATCAGAAAGCAGTGACGGAAGTCCCAAAGAATGAACAGGGAATTTCTCCAATTCATGCAAAATTGCAGGACCAAGGTGATCCTGTAAAACTAAAACAGTAAGTACATTTAGTTGGTTGCTCCAAAGTGTTTATAGGAAAATATAAGGAGGTTCCAAGATAATTACCAACCCAACGCCTTCACCACCGCAAAGCAAAAGACGAGGTCTAAAAACTAGAGGAATTGCGGATCCAAAAGAAAGCATGGAAAGTTTGGCAAACTCTGATGATGCTGCTAATGGAAAGGCATCAGATAGGATATTCATGGCTTTATGAAGGTGTCGCTGCAAACATGGTGCAACTACAGAAGACAGCGGCCGAGAATGCACTACAGCACCTCGATGAGCAGCAGGAGTGATTGTGGACATGGCTTCAACAAAATGATACTTTTCAACCTTGACTGATTCAACATCTATTAGAAACTTGTCATCGCTGGTGTAAACCTGAGGATACTTTTGGCGGAAAGCTTGAATAGCAGCTTCAGTGCAGAGAGCCTTCAAATCAGCACCACAATAACCTACACAAGTAGCAGCAAGTTCAGATCGAAGCTCCTCCGAAGGAGGATTCTTCCACTTGCGCGTGTGAATGGCCAATATCTCAGCACGCGCATCACAACCAGGCAGTGGAAAGTTAAATTCACGATCAAAACGACCAGGGCGGCGTAGGGCTCCATCGATAGCATCTATCCTATTAGTAGCTCCAATTAATACAACCTGCCCACGAGAGTCTAACCCATCCATCAAAGCAAGCAAAGTGGAAACGATGGAATTATGAATCTGCTCCTGCTTGCTAGATCTAACAGGAGCAAGCCCATCAATTTCATCAAAGAATATGATAGAAGGTTGATTCCTCTGTGCTTCTTCAAAAAGTAGTTTCAGTTGTCGCTCAGCCTCACCAACCCACTTGCTTAGAACATCAGCACCCTTCCGCATGTAGAAACTGACCTTTTGGCCGGCCTTTGATGCAGCACATGCTAATGCTCTAGCAATTAATGTTTTCCCAGTGCCTGGAGGCCCACATAACAGCACCCCTCTCGGTGGAGTTATATGATAACTTGCGAAGAAATCAGGGTAGAGTAAAGGAAAGAATACCATCTCCTTCAAAGCATCAATATATTCTGACAAGCCACCAATGTCATCAAAGCTAACATTTTCATCAACTTGTACAGGTTGAATATCTGCCCCACCTTTAGAGCTTGGTCCAGCAGTTTGAATACCAGATGATAAACTTGAAAATGCATCACTTTGATGGCCCCAACCAGATGCAGCAATATTCAATCCCCAAGATGCCGTCCCATGCATGTCCAATCCTCCAAACAGCCAAGGTGGGCCAGATCTACTTCCACCACGAGCCCATGGTATACCAGGAGCTTGATCTAGCTCATCCACAAGAAGAGAATCGTCAGAATCTTCAATCCTTGACATACGACGTTTATGAACTCTTGATCCACCCCTCCTTACATCTCTCCCAACCTTGGTGCCCATTCCTTGATGTAACACTCTACGAGGAGATGTTGGTCTTGGTTTCCCATCTCCAATAGAGAGTCTCCGAGCATCGGGACGATTTCGAAGATCATATCGCCTTCGTACCTCCTGTTCTTCTTCACCTCCTTCATCATCACCATCTTCCTCACCCTCATCTTCAGGTTCAGGATCACCGTCATCATCATTTTGAATATCTTCCACATCATTATCCTCTATATCATTTCCATTTTCAATCTCATCTTGGCTCGCTTTATCTTCTGAGCTACCTTGCTCATCATCTGATTCTGAATTCAAACGTTCTCTAGAAATAAGTCGTGAATGACGTGGTCGTAATCCCTCACGCCTAGGAGTAGGTCTGTTCTCCTTGTTTTTCGTATGCTTTGGAGAAGAAAAAACATTTTTATTTGAGTTACTAATCCTCCGACTCCTCGATGTTTTATACTTGGGACTCTGTAACAAGTTACTCAGCTTCAGTCTAGGTGACAAATACAGGTTATATTTCCACAATACATTTTGAAGCATCTAACCAATCAAAGTTGAGTTCAGGAAGAAAACTAATTCTTCGAACATTAAATCTCACCATTAAGTCCTCGTCTTCAGAATCACTGTAACGGCTAAAATTTGGACGCCCCCTCTTCTGTCGTTGAGAACGCCGCAAATTTTCAACTGGCTGCTAATACACATGAGAAAATATAAAAGTTTGAGATAATGTAGAGTTCAAAAGAGACAAACCCATACAATTTTAATCTTGAACTATCGATTTCATTCAAGTGAGAAATAGAGTAACAAATAGAGCAGAGAATTAACCAACAATATCATGTAGAATTCTACCAATAAAATATCAAAAATTGAGACAGAAATATGTCAAGCCAACCACGAAAATACCCAAATCTAACCATAAATTGAGCAGGAATATCAAAACTCAAAACCAAAAATACAAATTCAACAGAAAAAAAAGCACCAAACAAAATAGCCTAATAATCCTTGCACAAGAATGCCAAAGGCTAGCCACAAATGTTCAAAAGAAACATAAAAACATAATTGATTGAGGATAGAAGTTTGATGAAATTAAAACTCAAAGCTAAATTTCAAACCTAATCATCCCTTCTCACAAGCAAAACATACAGATCAGAAACATAGAAATATAGAAAGAAGAATGCAAAAAAAACATATATCCTATGCCACAAAGCTACTCCAAAGGGATCATACAGATCAGAAACTCCCACTACTAGAGACCAACTCAAAAGGGTTAATCCCGTACTTACAATAACTCTATACCACAAAGCATTTTTTTCAGCGATTTGTTAACTGGATCCATGCAAATTCTCCACTTATCCCCAAATCCTTTATTTCCAACAACCTTTTCTTAAAAAAATCGAGTAATACGTACTTGGAGATTGATTTTTAAATTTAGTATCTATCCTAGCTATAATCAATTCCAAGAAGAATTTTTGAATTGATATAAGATACAGGATATAGTTCTGTTCTCACGACAGCATTCGTAGTTGGCAAGGATTGCTTCTTTGGACGGAGCATCTTGGCAATTCTAGTAGCTGGGGTTCTTTTCTTGTTGGGTTTGAAAGATGCAGAAGGACCATAATATACATATGGACGACCATATGATATTGGCCTCCTTCTTGGTCGAGCACTTGTTCGTATTGGGCTGGAGACTGGTCCATCCCCTAAACCAGTTTGCTTTGGATACATGGGCGATACAAGAGCTAGATGGGATTGATCAAATTTCCGGTGAAGGCTTCTGAAGACAGCATCTGACAAGCAATTAACCTCGTCAATTTTCAGCAAATGACTAAGCAATAAAAATATAAGAAAACACTCTAGCCAACATGCATTTTCAAATATCCAACCAATGAAATTGGGAGGACTGTTATGATGTTCCTATTAATGAAATTGTCACTCGTCCCCTTCATTGTCTTAACAATGAGCTTTTAAGATATCCAACCAACATCATGGTAAAGAAAACCACTACAAAAAATTAAAAATGATATCAAGATGTTCCTAATACACTTTACAGTTTACCATGATATTAACAATGCTAGAAAGTGACAAAAGCTTGATCACGAATGATGCAAAACAGTCCAAGAGTAGAGGGTACAAATCATTTAACAAGACGCACATTCCTAACCATGGTTTGGTCAATCTTATCGTAACGATAAAGGTTATAAGAGGTAATGTTCCAGACTTAATATATCCCATCTAAAAACGAAATATACCCGGACTGCACAAATACATGTGTCCAAAATTACATGACTTTCTTGAAATTACTTGCTTATTAATTCTCATGGCGTTGTGTGATCAACCCCCTTAATGGCATATGCCCTATCACTCTATCGCTATGAAAAACATAGATTCCAGAAAGAAAAGTCTAATTCTGAGTGAAAAACATAGAAACCAAGTATTGACCATGATTTATGCCCAACATAAAAGCAAAAACATAGTGCAAACATAAGTAATTGCATTGCATGTTATTAAAACAAACCTCAGCTCGTTTCGCCTCGTTCTTTCCTGGTGTTGGCCCAAAACGAAAGATATCACAGGCTTCACAACAATCAAAGCAGTCTGATCAAAATTTTCACCCAAAACAGGAAGCATTCTCAGAGCTGAAAAAACGACAAATTGAAACATGGGGAGAAAGGGGGAAAGTGAAGAAAGTACCGATGGTGGCTTTTGGTGAGTGATTCAATTGGTGGAAATTGCATTTGAGTGAGGGGAAAGACGACGAAGACTGGGGAAGAAGATCGAACCTGCTGGCGTTGAGGAGAATAACCAAAAAAAATTGCTACGGGGAAGACGGAAGAGAGTGCATGGCCACAGCTAGGGCTTTCGTGGGCCGTCGATTTGTAGGGCCCTTGTTGGGCCGTCGATGAATGTTCGCCCGGATCCTACTTTCCCGGACCCTACTTGCCCGACCCGACCCGACCCGATTCCGTTTTTGAAAGTAATATCTTTTATTTATTTATTTTTTTTTTCGTTACAATAAACCATTAACTTTTAAGATAAAAACTACAGTAAAAATATCTCCAAACTTTTAAAATTTTAAATAATATCCTTAATTTTTTTAAAATAATTCAAAAATACTCTTAATACTATATTTAAAAAATACCATTAATATTTTAAAGGTAATATTAACCCCTTAAACTTTAAATAAAAAAATATATATTAAATTTTTTTACCGTTATGTAAATTTATTTTTATTTTTCTCTTTTTAAAATAAAGTATTAACAGTTTTCCTATGAAAACTACCATATAGTATTTTTTAATTTTTTTAGTTGGTATTATTAAAAATTTTAAAAATTTATCAGTAACTTGAATATTATTTTTATTAATTAAACAATAATAATAATAAGTCATTATTACTTTCTCCCTAAAAAATCATTATTTTTACTTTTATTTATTTATTCAAAGTTAATCTGGGAAAAAAATAAAAATACTTGTAATCTACTATTATGAATTTATTATAAAAAGAAAATACTAGCTAAAAAGTTAGAACGAAAACTCGATAGTCTCTTGTATAATTAAATTTCTATTTGATAGAATTTCTATTTGGAAAAAAAAAAAGTGATTTGTGCGGAAAAAAAAAACTTCTAAACAATTTATAAAAAAGTTAAAAATAAAACAAAAAAACTTCATATACTATCAAGAGTGGACATTAAATAATATAATTATTTGAGTTAAAAAATTTAATAAGAGATTATAAAAACTTTAGAAAAAAAATTACAAATTTATTCAATATAACTTATTCATAAAAATAGTTATTAAATAAAAAATATATAATTAAATCACAATTTTATCTAATCATCTAATATTACTACTGGGTAAGAGTTGGAAAAAATAATATAATTAACAAATTTTCTAATATACTAATAAGAGTCTGGACTTATTTGAAGGATTCAAATAGATATCTTTATGATTCCTACAAACTATAGAGATTCAAATAGATATCTTCTGTTCAAATCTGATTGGAACTTTTCAAATAAAGAAATTTTAGAAGTCTAGATGGTCAAATTTCTCTTCGGGGTCGAGCTAAAAAAGATATCTCATTAACCTAACAGATATTGTCTGCTGTATAAGTTCGGATAACTTTGCTTTGGGCTTCTCAAAAAACTTCATGCCAATAGAAATATTTTTATTCTAATGGAGATATTCTCCAAGCTATAAACGGTAGGGGATGGTGATCATTCCCCTAATTTAGGGGTACACTTCAATCCCACAAATACAAATATTGATCCCATACACAAAAACAACAATAATAATTACAACAAACAATCAGATAAAAAATCCAAAAAATAAACACTCACATCACCGCAGCGCTGATTCTCCGGAGACGAGTCTCCGGCGGCGGTTGGAGCCAGCGGCGTGGATTTCACCGGTTGATCTGCGGATTTGCGATCAATTGGCGAGAGATAAGGGCTGAAGAAAAGGTTACTTTCTGCGGAGAGCGAACAATGAAGGAAATCGACGGCTATGAAATTCAAAAGGTGACTTTCTGCGGAGAGCGAGCAGTGAAGGAAATCGACGGCTATGAAATTGAATAGAAAAGGAGGAGGAGGAGGAGGAGGAGGAGGAGGAGGAGGAAGAAGAGAAGATTTGGCTGAATTTCAGGGAAGCGGAATTTGATCGAAATCCGCTTTCCTTCTGTGTTTCTTCTCTTGAAACCGAACGGGTTTTTGAAGGAAACTGGTTGAAAAAGGGAATTTTCTCTATGAAAACCAAAATATTTTAATTTCATTTTTAAATATTCAATTTCTTTTATAAATAATAACAGATGGCTAATTTTTAAAAATAGCTTATAGTTTTTAAATTTTCATTATTCCTTAATTTTAGTTTGTAACTATTTACCGTATTTTTTTAATAATCTAATTACAACTCGGATAATAATGATAAATTATTCCATAATAAATATTGATTGTTGATTTTTAAGGAAATTTTAATATTTGAGATTTAATTATTACATACTCAAATTTATGGACATGATATTTTTAAATTGTATTATTTGAAATTAAATTATTACATGAAATTTATTAACTAAATTTTTAGACAAATCCAGAAATTAATGTTAATTTTTTAAATTTAAAAAAATGAAACTGGTACGATGGTTGATAAGGGTACATGATGTTATTCACAACTGTATATAATATTAAATTTCCTGTTACCCTTCTTTTCATCGCAAAAATTAAATCACTTACAAAAGTTATCATCGAATAAGTTTCTTCAATCTGAGAAGCTTATCCCTCACTCGCATTCGCCTAATCGAGCCGAGCACTACAGGAAAATTTGGTCATGTAGATCTTTGATTTTGTCAACCTCCGGTCAAGCATTCTTCAAACGTCGATCAATCCTTTGAACCCACGAAAATTGTCTATTGTCCTTTTCTTGTTTAGTGAGTTGACCCGAACGGGCGGGCAAAGAAACTCTGAATCACAAGTATTTGAACAATAAAACACGAAAAATACATCCCTAAGAAGAAAGAAACATGAAAATAAATCTCAAGAACATAATTTCCTCTGAATGATGATTTCCAGTTTAGAAAGTATTGTACAAAAAGCAAGGAGAGATACCAGAAATGCATCACTATAGAAATGGACAAACCTTCCCAGACCTTTCCATGAGAGTATCTGAACGACTGCATTACAAAAACCATCTATTCTTGCCAAAGTCACTCTGATGCCGCATTTCGAAAGCATCCTCTGTATAGCAAACTAAATCAAGAATGAAAAAATCGAAAGTGGAATATCGAAGTAGCGAATTCGGGAATACGAACTACAGCCTTTTTAACTCGTTGAATCGTAGCTAAGTTCTAGCATCCAGCAGCCTTCAAGAACTTGTCATATGGACTTGAAGGTGGTAATCTTAAAGAACAGCGACCATATTCATGTGAACAAAGAAAAGGCTGATCCTGTCGTTTGTTCGTGTCCTTGGCGTAATACTTGAGATCATCCGGAACAATTTCCATTGTCTGAAACGGTACGGCCAAGATAATGTTAGTTGTTTTACCGCAACCAATTCGGAAAATTATTCAATGCGACAATCACTTTCTACACCATTGGATGTATGGTGAAACCATAACGTTTAGTTTCTCTCCTACACCGAACAGTATAAAACTACCAGCCACATTATACTAGCCTCGTGAATAATTTTGATATTCTTCTATCAAAGCGTAGAGGGAGAGATAAATTACTCACATTGACAGGTAAAGGAGGATATGAAGTTCCAATTTCACTGGAGAGTACTATCGCCTTCTCTTCCTTTGTTTGCTTGAAACTATGAAGCACTGACATTTTCTCCTGTTTGCACGTTACGAGCGCTTCACATTGACTTTTCATTTGATCGTAAGGAACGGGCGCAGAAGAAGCTTGGTTGCTTGCAACTTGTCTGGCTGTTTCGAGCACCTGCAAATAGTACAGACATCACCGATGGAGCCAATATATCATGCATGTAAATAGAAGATATAGCCACTTGCTATTCTACGTTTCGGTTGATCGAGACATCGCGCTTGATACCATAGAGTAGGTCTTAGCATCTCAAAGTTTTACCACCCACACGGAACGAAAAGTTTAACTCTACAACCCTATTAGTTCACGACTCAAGGACTTTGTAGGGTAACCAGACCTTCATAATGCTAGTGTTTAAGAAAAGCAAAACTGTGTTTGTTGCCAGAGCTGCAGTGCCTCTATTGCTATGTTTAAGGAAATACAGGTTTTATAACCAACATATGCTTCCGATATAGTAGCAATAAAATATCCTACATGTTGGCAGCAAGTAGAACACAACAGAACTAAAGAGTCAGCATAAATTGATAATTGGAAAATAATAAAGTGTTCACTATGGTCCGAATGCTGTGAAATATTTAATGATTAGTGCAAATTTTGTCTTACTGATTCCAAAAGCTGATTGACATTTAAAATGTCGAGGTTACTGATGGAAAGTGATGTTTTACGATCAGACTGGCTTTCGCTTGGCTCAAGGAAGGCTTCGTCGTCTGTAAAAGCAGCAGGCATAACCTGAAAGAAACACATCGTGGTTTTACTGTTCCTCGTTTAAAGGATGATGCCAACTAACGTACAACCTAAACAGGTCTCACCTCGTCGTGGTCAGGAAATGCCAGCTGAGCGAGTGGGGAACATGGATGTGGTGTCTCCATAAATAATGGAGCTCCTAATGGGTATGTCTCATCAGGCAAAAACCCATGTAAGAGCTGCACTCGAATCCTTGATAACTCAGCCTAAAAGAAAATAAAGATCATTAACACAATCTTTGGAAAAGTACTGATTTTATCAACATTAGCAGATAATTAGACTGCTGGAGTTTTCCTCACAACACCTAGGATTGGCCCTCCAGATGTTTTATGGCCATCCATTTCAGGATATAGCTAAAATAGAATCGAAAAAGGCCATCAGGGAGACTTTTGGAGCGTGCGTTTCGTTGATTCCCAGGGGAGTTTCATTGCTAAAGATTCTTGTAACATGTCTCAACTTTTTAGTTTATACCAATCAAATGTGTTTTATTTGAGCTCTCTTGGTATGGTTGGAAAGATGTGCATCTTCCCTCCTAGTACATAATTTCTATTTAAACAATTTAGACTTCCCTCATAATAGTCCTCCCTGTGGTTTATGTTCTTAAGAGTATAAAAGGAGCTTCATCTCCCCAAAGTTATCATTAACCATATTGGGCTTCTAAGCAGGGTTTATATTCCTTGTGAGTCTTGATGATTTTTCCTCTCCCCTAAATTATCATTAATTATAATGTTCTTCATATGCCAATAATACAAAGTTTTTGTTGAACTTCGATATCAATGAAATTTTTGTTTCTCGTGGAAAAAGAAAGGCATTTAAAGAATTTAATCATGAAGTGTATGAGAATCAAGACCTCCGAGAGACTGGCATATTTAATTGTGAAGTGTGAGAGCACATTTTTCTTCAACTGCTGTTCATCTAGTTCAAGTACTGCTAGAAACCTCGATGCAGCAACTTCATCTTCTTCTGACCCGAATGGTACGCTATCCTTTTCGGACCTCACGCGAACAGCCTGCAGCCTGGTATCATTAACCAACTGGAGGTGAGGATCAACCTGTCAGATTCAAAAGTCCAACATGATAATTTTAGCACATATCGGCATGATTATCAAAGTACAATAGAATGTACTAATCCTATTTGACAGGTTCAAAGATTTAACCATTATATTATCTAATGATGCTTTAATGATAGGAGTCAACTCTGGAAGATCGCCCGCCCTGGCTGAAAATAGAAGCATAAACGATGCCAAAGTGAAGATTGACCTTCTGCGAGAGGGTAGTAAACCACCTTCAAATAGGATCACAGAGATATCTGTTAGCACTTCTCTGATAAGAAGAAACTGCTAGTCTATTAAATTAACAAAACAACACTGAGAAATTAAAAAAAAAAAAAGAAAAAAAAGAAAGAAAGAAAGACTCATGAGAGTCCATATAATCAATTTAAAAAATAAATGTGAAAATGGTTGAAAATGTAACACGGGATGCTTTACAGGTAGAAAGAATTCTTTTATGAAATCCCACATTGGTTGGAGAGAAGAACGAAGCATTCTTTATAAGGGTGTGAAAACCTCTCCCTAACAAACGCATTTTAAAAACCTCGAGGAAAAGTCCGGAAGGCAAAGTCCAAAGAGGACAATATCTGCTAGCAGTGGGCTTAGGTCGTCACAACAAGAATGCCAACTAAATAGAAAGTGAAACCAATTCGACTTGAAAGATTCAATCTCGCTATATTCAAAACCCTCTCATGGATGTTCTCTTTCTAATTTGTTTGCTCACTAATTCCATAAATATATTTATACGAATTGAGAGTTTGTTTTGTGTTTAATTTTACTTTGGTGGTTTTCTTTCACTCCAATTGAGAGTTTGTTTTCTTCAGATACTTTTGTATTCTTTTTCAAATTCATATCCTGTTTAAAAAAACAAAACTAAATCCCAAAATTCAGTAGAACATAGGTAGGCACAATAAGATTAAAGGCTACCATTTCCCACATAATGAATAGTTTCCTAATAATTACAAAACAATCTCAGTTTACCTTTTTGATCCACAGCAATACTACGAAGGGAAAACGCCAGCTGAAAACATCGTACCAAAGCCATGTGACTTGAAGTCTGTTAAGATCACCACCACTTAGCAATTCTTTTCACAAATCAGCACTTGAGTAAACTCCCAAGACCAGACAAACTAAATTATCAAATAAATTTATCTAAAGAATTCACCTTAGATCTGGTAAATAGCAAAACAATGCTATAACTGTGGGCCATAGCCTCAAAATTTGCAGGTGTATTATCCGCATATGTAGCTTGGATCCATAATGACGAGAGCAGGAGACTCGATTGGTGACTGCTTAAACGGAGGGAAGCCAACTTCTGAAAATTTCAAACATATGACTTTAGTTTCCCCACATTATTTAACGCTTCCCCAAACCATTTAATATATTTTGAGCACTTGATGGGTAATATCATAGGATAAGTATTTAGAGCTTCATACATTTTTTCCCTCGCTGGAACTATGATTGAATTTGGAGGATTCACAACTAGATGGATGTGTTGCAGATTCCTCGGAAATGGACTCTGTTGCTTTACATTCTTCCCTTCTCTCCCCATTCATGGGTTCTGATGCATGTTTGTCTTCATCCTTAAAGGAGGAACTTCCACCATTCATTTTTTGTGTTGCACTGCCAAATGGTAACCAAGAAACAGTTTCTGAGGAAACCATTTTCGGTTCCATCCTAGGACACTTAATGGACGGCATAAGCACTATAGAGAAAATGTCATGTGCCCGAACTCGAGTCTCGTGGTCAGGGTGAGCCATTGCTAAAAGCAACTGATGAAATAGAGCATCGGGAAAAACCTGAAAAAAAAAATCAAGATAGACTTGAGATTTTAGGTTTCACAAGATCATGATATCCAGAAGCTATACATGTATCTGAAAAACAATTTATGAAAAAAAAAACGGCAGTATGGTTACTTGCCTTATTGTGATATGAAACATTTGGAATAGAAGCCACAATCATTGCAGTCTGATAAACTGCAGAGATTGTTGCTCGAGCTGAAATAGTATTATTTGTAACATTCTCCATCACAACAGCTAGCATATCTAGTATGGGTCCCGCATCTCCAACCTGTTAGTTTCAAATGGTTTTAGTGAAAAACAATTTAGTAAGAAAAACCACAGTCCCTCCAGCATGAAGCAATGCGGACAAGCTATTTCCTACAGTATTTTACTGAAGTCCAAAATTTCTATTGGCAGATTTGCTTAATACATTTGATTGGGATTTTTACTTGATATCCACAGTTTTAATAACCACTTAAAGAATGTTTAGAAACTTCAATATCCATGATGATAGAAGAATATGAATTTGTTTATTTATATTTATTGAAAGGAAGTTGGTGTATTTAACAATTTCCCACGTCATATGGATGAGAAAACGAGGCATGAGCAAAGATAGGGGCAACGAGCAGACATGAGTATCAGAGATAGGCTTGTTGAAGGGCCGGGTAGGGCCCAAAGAGGAAATAAAACAAAGCAAAGAGAGGAAAAGATTAACAAATACATACTCAAGTGCCCAGTCACAGCAAATCAAATAATTGAAAAGTAAAACAAAGAACCCACATTCAGAGGGATGACTGAAGAGAAACAGGAGAAAAGACCAACAAAAAGATAAATCAGTAATTAAACACCATTTAGATTAAGAAAATGAAAGCATTATAGAGAACCAACATTCAAGGGATAATTTAAGACAAATTATTTTGAGTTCTATAGCCATAAAACAAATTTCAATAGATTTTTGTAGAATTAGATATAAAAACACTGTACTAGGAGACCACATGGCCTGCCATAAGTTCTGAGACAAAAGGGGTTATGCAAAGACCATGCAGCAATAAAACTATAAATATTAGCTGCAGCCAAAATGGAATGCATAAGGAATTTGTGAAAAATACCACTATTATGCAAGGGAAAACAATGGTGACGATTTGACGTGTACACGTCTTACAAATTTCAATTATTATTTTTATCTAATCTTGTAAGGATCCTACGAATAAGTGATCTAAGATATCTAACAAATGTTTCAATGTACATCAGTATGACAATATATGAAAAACCAAATATTCATACATGGCTGAAGAGCTTTGTATGAAAAACCTAACAGATAGCTGAATATTTCGGTACTCTCTGCAAAAAATATGCCATAAATGAACAAATTTTGGGGTTTATTTCACCATTTCCTGCCAAACTCAATCACATCCAATTATCAGAATAAACGTGAAAAAGAAAAGAAAAAAAAAAATAACCTTCTTTGAGAGCTGAGAAATGCAGGTTTCCAATGCCATCTGAAGTTGGGTACTCCGTTTATCTGTGTCGTGTCCAGTGCTGGATGCTTCAAATAAACATAGAATGCACTTTCGTAGATGTTTTATCAAATCAGTGATAGCCCCAATAATAGTAACGGAGGCTTGCGGCTTTGCATTTTGAGCAAGTTGTGTAGTTACATTGATAATATCTAGTTGAATCTGAGGCTTTTTTATAATGCTTTTATGATCCAAGTGCTTGACAAGAATCGAAAACAAAAGATGCGAGTTGTCTCCTGGTAGCATGGGGACAAAGTTCCACCCAAAAGGGGGAAAATTTTTAGCAATGGACGAAAGTCAACAGTAAAATAATTGCTAAAAGAAACATATATGGGCAATAGAATTTTGAATATAACCTGATTCATCCATAAGAGATTGCATAAATGTCAACACCGAGCAGGCGAGTCCCTTTTCTAAGGACCATTGATTTTCAGTATCAAAATGATGAAACAGAGGTTCAAACACACGCCTGACGGTTGTAGCTTCCTTTGCCAATTTAGCCATATTACACAAGCAAACTCTAGACCAATAAGAAGGGTTCTTCTGATCATCCCTGTGAAAATGGTGGATGATATAAGAAATGGGACCATAGATCATTTCCAAAAAATAATAAATGAACCAATTGAAATATCAAAATTACGAAGAACTTACGTTTCAGTTTCCATTTTGCTCAAATGATTAAACGAAGAAACCTTTCCATCAACATCTAACATAGAAGAGCTGTCGTCTTTTACTGTCTGTTGTCCTTCAATGGAATATTGCACATCTACTACATAGTTCTCCAAAACCACTGATATGATCTATTTTTAGACAAGTTAGTAAAAGTCTTATTAGCATCCGATCCCAAGTCTGACCACAAAAAAGAACCACCTTAGAAATTTTTCAAAAAAAGGTCAAATACTTTGACGCCCTTAGTATTTCTAGGAAAATTAAAATAAATAAATATATATATATATATAATAAATAATAAAAAAAAGTCAACAAGATTAAGAGACTGCTCACATTGTCAAAGTCCATTGAGATATGAGACTGCTCGCCCATGAACAATATCTAGAAAAATAATTTTTAAAAATGCATCAGAAAATTATCTTGACCAAGAAAATAAATGGACTAATGAATTAATAGGGAAAAAGAAAGAGGCAAAAATAACCAGTAAAAATGACCATCAATCATCAGGTCTCCTAAGATGAGCATAATCCAAGAAAGGAATAATTCTATTATGGTGAACATGCAAGACAAATTTGATATACCATCAATCTCAATCATCACATTTCATAAGAGAAACAGAATACAAGAAGAGTACAACTCTAGAAAGGTGAATAACGCATTGACACAAATTTGATAAACTATCAGATAGAAGGGATTTTGAGAATCAAATATAAGAAAGGTCTTGGCAGTAACCCATTATAACCACATCAAATTTAATAACCATGGATGAAGATGGCAAATCAATGATGAAAAGAAAGTTGTGCACAAATAGATTTACGAGCATCTATAATATTAGCATCAGATATTGAGAGAGAGAGAGAGAAGGAGATAGTAATACCATAGAAGCTAGAGTTTGGAGTCCAGCTGATCGCAAATGAGGTGCCTTGTCATCACTCTCACCTTCTATAGCCACTTCGCAAAGTTTTGGAATGATGCCCTCTAAGTTGAACATATATGTACTATCTGTCTACTTTATTTTGATAGTTAGTGTCATATAATCACTAAATTTTTTTAAACGAAAGACAAATTTTTCATTAAGGAAATGAAAAGAGAATAATATACAAAAATAGGGTAGAAGATTAAAAGATGCCATCTTATTTAAAAGAATTTAGAAGTGACTTTTATGATGCAGAAAATTAATCTCATTAAGTTACAAGTGAATACCACGTTTGCAAAGCTTTTTTTCTTACACAGGATGCCAAAAAAAAAAAAAAAAAAAAACCCATTAGCAGGTAAATCACGTAATAACAATTTCGTACGCGTCATAATAACAACATTACATTAGCAATGAAACTTCTTAATCTTTATTCTTCAAATACCTGGCGACTTATGAACTCAACAAGAATATTGCAACCAAGAATCTGCATATCATCATGCCGTGTTTGTTCTAAAAGAATTCGAGAAATCCCAATTAAGCTACTAGCATATAGTGGCCTGCAAGAGTTGAAGTGTTTAGGTAAATGACATGCAGAGAGCCTGGTTTCTTGAAACATCAAAGAACATGTTTTCCAAGCCTTGATGACGTGTATAATTTTATTCAATGCTCACATTTCTAATAGTAATTCAGTAATAAAGTGGTACTCAGAAGTCCTAAAACGAAAGATTCTAGTTAAATTGCAACATGATTTAGTAAATCAAACTCACATCTGATCTTTGCACATCAATAGTAGTTTTCTGTAAACACAAATTACGATTTTCACAGATCCAAAATTCTCATTCCGCAAATCTTTGTAACATCGTTGCTCCAGGTGTTCGGTAATCTACAAAGACAAAAGCAGAGAATGAGAGAAAGAGAAAATGATCCACTTCCTCCAAATAAGAAATCTTATTGAATCTCAAACAGCTTCCTCAAAAGAATAGGAAAAATAAAAATTGCATTGGTACACAACTTAGCTGGAGCTTTTAATATACAAGTTTAGTGCGTATAGTGAATACAGAGAAAACAAAGTTTCTTCTAGAAAATCCATTCAAAAAAATTAAAAACACAGCCCAAAAGGTAGACAATAGAGCCTTCAAAAGGAAATTACAAGAAGGGGCACTAGCTGTTAAGAGTTAGAAACAAAAGACACCACTTAAAAAATTCAATATGCAATCTCAAAGGGACAAAGGGAAGCATGAAGCGAACCAAATTCTAAAGCTCCTTTAAAGAGGCCATTGTACAAACAAAAATCCTTCTCTTCTTTCCAATCAAATATACTACAAGATAGTCAAAACACCCACTTGTTATTGAAACCTCTAATTGTAAAAAGGTGGGAACAAGAGTAACTTCTACCAACATAGTGCAACATGACTCACATGTTGTCTTCCAAACAATATGATCAAAATATTAATCTTATAAAAGATGCACCACTGAGGCCTAAGCACTAAAGAGAGACTTCTAGACAAAATTTGTGTCTTTGTGGTGTTGATTCTCCCCAGAACAACAAACCTAGACAATATTTGAACTTTCTTTGAGGTTTTAGGTTTTAACCTCCCAGAGCTTAGAAAGGAAAGAGGAATGAACCCAGTCGGGTAAAGAAACAAGGCAAACAAAAATAGTTTTACCTTACTTCACAAACTTTATATATATCTCCATGATCCATCTTTCAAATCGCTGTTGCTAATTTATTTTTCACAGTGAAGTGTTGACTTCTTCTTTAAAAAGTCAATGTTTTTTTTTAATGAGTTCAACAACATATAGGAGTGGGGATTTGAAACTCTAATGTTTTCTTCGAGGATATATTTTCCTAACTAGTTGAGTTATGCCCATATTGATACTTTAAAAATCAATTGTAAGAGTAACATGTCTAAAAAGTTCTTGTGACTCTAGCAGTATGCATCATACTTCGGTGAAAATCATCATGGAAAGTAGACAAAAAAGGTTTCTTGTATGTAGGTAGCCTGCTGCATATTTGTGTAGTTTGTATACGAATATTTCATAATCGGAAAACTAATCCAAAGATTCAGAAAATTCTAATTGCAAAATTCATCAAGAAGTTACAATGGCCTTTGCTTAATGACAGAAGATGTCAAGTATGACAATAGGAAAAAATAAATGAAACGAAAAAAAAAATTACCTTGGGAATACGCAACGGGTTCTTTGAAGCATAGTCACAGAGCTTAGAAATTTTTCTATCGTCTGGTTCAGCATTCTAGCAGATGTAAATGTAAAATAAAAAACATAAAAGTTTAAATGTAATCGGCAGTAAACCAAGAATAAAGAAACTATACAACACGGTAACTTCATCTTTTCGTACCAATGCATAATTCAAGAAAACTCTTGTTATTGCCAAAGTCAGTGTCATTTAACTGATTAATTGTTATAATCAAAGTTAAACCACGTTTATTTGCTCAATTCACAACTCCACAACTCTTACCTCAATCCAAATTGTTCTAAGACTAGCGAGATAGACATAAACTTTACAGGGAAAGACTCACCTGATTACGAGGAAGTATATCGGCAAGAAACTTCTTGTATCGTTTCACAGGCTGTCTCGACCTCGCCCGCATAGAAGGACAGAAGAAACAGAAGCTACCACAGGCAGGAACAACCCGCCTAGACATAACCCCCATGTTTTCTCCAGAAATTCAAACCTCCTCTCTGAAAGTCCACACAGAGAATGTCACAAACTCAAACACAATATATAAAAGCAACTCATGATACTGCAATTCAAGACATCCAAAGAAGAATTAAGTTCAAAAGTCATAGAATACTGTCAGTATGAAACAGCTAATGTATGAGCTATTATCATGAGTTCATATACACCCTTAATCTTACAAGTCAAATTCATCCCCATTTCAAAAACCGGCAATGAACTGTGATGAATTATTGGACCAGAGAGTGAGATCTTACCGAACTGAAGAGAAGCTCAAATAAGTTTATGCACCAATAAGAAATCGAACTCTTCAATTCGGAATTGCGATCAAGCTGCTGCAGCCGTGATCTATAGCACCCTGAAGAAAAATCTTCCAAAATTTTCAACGAATTTCGAAACCTAGAATTCGTCAGTTCAGAAAATTAACAAAAATCATAGAAATTAAAGAACAATAAGAACACCAGGATTGAATTAGGAGTAGAATCATTACCAGAGATGGCGCAATGGGGCGGAAGAGATAGAAATCTAAAATCTTCCCCCCACCACGGGGAGTGTCCAACTATAATCAATCAAAATTTTCCCCTCTTGCAAAGCAATAATGGCGAGATAAAAAAAAAAAAAAGAAAAAGAAGAAAAATGAAATGAAATTCGGAAAAAAAAAAAATAATGTGGAAATGACAAAGTCCCAAACGTCCCCGGAAATTAAGGGATCGAAATGTTCTTCTTTTTTTTCCTTTTTATTTTTTATTTTTTATCTTTTTCTACGGAAAAAAATGTTTTAAATTCTTTAAATTAAATATATATTGCTTTTATTTACCCAATTTTATGGTCAATTATTTGTACTTTTTCATATTATATACGCCGAAATGTTTTTGTTTTGTAATATAATATTACAAAAAAAATTATATTCTCTTTTACCTTAAAAAAAAAAAATTCAAACTTTAAAATTTGATATTATATTTTATATATATCCATACCTAAGGTTATATATTGTGAGCGGGTTGTACTCTCTTGCTGGTTTATACAATGTATCTTTTAAAAATCTCTCTCTACTCTTGTTTTCTAAAACCTTCTCTTAAATCGAGGCTAGAGGCTCGAGCATATGTCACTTAGCCGTAGGCGACGCAAGAACGAATTGACTTAACTCACTTGTCGTTGGAAAGTAAGTGTCGCACAATCGCAAGTCCGCTGACATAAAGAGTGCGATTGTGATAAGTGGTAGTCAACTTCTCCCTACCCAATGTTATATACTGTGAACTGTTATTGTTACTCTCTTGCTTGCTTATACGTCTCTTTCAAAAATCTCTTTATGCCCTCGTTTATATATATAAAGCTCTACTAATTTAAGTAATTACATTGAGTATTTTTCACGTATTAAATACTATGTTTTAATATTAAATTTTTTTTTTTTTTTTTTTTATAAAATTTATTTGGATAGAATGTTATATTATACCATTTCTTATGAATATATCATTAGATTTATTAGAATGATTCTATTTTTTTAATAAAATTATATTGAAAATTTGAAATTATTCCTTAAAAATATTAGTAGCTGCGGCCCGTGGTGTGTTTGACGATTGTTGCATAAAAGTCGTGAAAAAGAAACAGTTGCAAACGACTAGCAGTATTTTTAACGACCATAGCATAAAAAGTCGTGCGAAAAAAAATAAGTAACAAATAGAGTGAAATTGGTAGCACGGAAAAGAAGAAGAGTTGATACATATTTGCTGGAGACCACAAACTTGTGAATCCGTATCGTGGGACATAAGTTTCGTGACACTACATGACAAAAATTTGCATTCACATGTTACCTCATATAAGTTATGTACAACCTCACACAGAAGACACAAGAGGACAACGCATCATGACACTCATCAATCTTGGCGTAAACGTGGTCGGATGGACGCTACTCGAGGGTCGCCTATTATCTATCTTGCGTGGGAAGTTACAACCTACGCTCAGTAAAGTCACGACACTCTCCCTTAACCTAGTAATCATTCTCGATGTTTTTTTAGCACAAATGGTAATCACTAGACAGAGATTCATTTAATTACTGGTACACATATACTTAAAAAAATGCAATTAAAAATATTACCCTTTTATATTTTACTTAATCATAAATTAAAATAAAATTAAAATTATATTGCAGACATAAATTCCAAAATTATAATTTTGCATTTTTTTGATATAAATTTAGAGTAGAAAATGATATAATTACCAACAAATTTCATTTTTATTATTTAAAATATACTTACCACTGCTGCGCTGTATCCGAGAGAGAGAGAGAGGGAGGGAGGGAGGAGAGAGAAAGCCAGAATGAAGAACAAAATCAACCGAATTCATTCCAAATCGAAGCAACCCAGTTGCGAATTCTGTGTCAATTCCAATGGGTTCGCTCCAAAATCTCCAATTTCAAAAGCTGTAATCCCTTTTGAAAAGCCTGTCACTCATCGATTTCAACCCCTTCTTCAACCCTCCAATGGCGTCCTCTGCAACTTTTTCTTCCCTTTTTTCTTCAGTTTCTCCTTCAATGGCGTCCCCAAATGCCGGATGGCTCAGAATTTTACTCATCAACTGCGTCCCTCTCAAGGCATTTGTCAATGGAAGATGTCCCTCCGGCGTCTCCTCCGTCAGCTCCCAAATGAACTCCGTCGGAAATGCTCTGTAATTGTACTGCTCTATTTCGGTGTCCAGTTTCTTCATCCATCCAAGTTTCTTGAACAGCTTCGTGAAATCTCCGTTCATTTTCTCGAATATCCGTTTCTGTACGCTGTACCCGAATTTCCCGTCGCTGTATTTCTGCCAGAGGTCGTCTATGGCTTTCAGATCGTCGGCGGCAATGAATTGTACTTCCGAGAAGTAGACGTAGCCTCGTTTCTGTGCAGCTTCGCCGGCGAGGGCGATCAGAAGCCGGCGAGTCTCCTCATCGGCTTGACGGAAGTTTTTGGCCGTGAGGAGGCGGTCGAGCTCGTCGAAGGAGATGGCTGAGGCGGTGTCAGTGGAGAGAGGGAAGGAACCAGCGGCGGCAGCGGAGAGAGAGGAGGTGGCAATGGCAGTAGCAGTCGCAGTGGCAGTGCCAGTGGTGGCGGCGGTGGGGGTTGGTTTGAGGTAAAGAGAGGTGGAGGGGAGAGGGGTGGAAGAGACATTAGGGTGGTGGAGGCGGCGGCGGCGGAGAGAGTGACGGAAAGATGGGAGAGACTGGGAAGCTGCCATGGGGGAGAGATAGAGGGAGAGTGTGGGCATGAAGAATTGAGAATTGGGGTTTTGATAGATAAGGAATTAGTGGAAAGGGGAAAAAANATAGAGCTTCTCATCAAAAGGGATTCAATTGAGGCTTTTGATTGGTTGGTTAAGGGTGAGGGTTGGATTTTTCTCTCTCTACAATATTCAATCTTCATGTATATATATATATATATGTGTATATAAATATATATATGTATTTCTAGTTTAGGAACATTTATTTTCGATAATAAAACAACTACCCTACGAAATAAAGACCCATTAAAATGGACGTGTTTAATTGTGGACGAGTTCGAGTTCAAGTAGGACGGAAAATAGAAGAGAGAGGATAGAAATTTTTGATGGAAAATGGGAAATAGAGGATAGAGATTTTTTCAGCTAAGTAGCTAAACCGAGACGTGAATGGAGATTACATTTTCTGTCCCCGACCTCACCCGCTCACTTTTATATATATATATATATATATAATCTTAATGAATAAATAATATAATATATATTTTTAAGTGGGAAACTATACACCATCATAGAAATTTGATTTTCAACGTTGATATTATGGAACGATCTTTTAAACCACTATCCATTAAGCTAAGAACGTGTTAAAATCGGGCGACCTTTAATCTAGTTTTCACACTAATAGATATATCTAATAGTTTATCGGTTTAATCAATTTTACTTATTAATGTTAAATTTCTATGACTATGGAGTTGAAAATAAATTGCCTAAAAATCATCTTAAATACAAGATAAAAATCTAACAAGTACCCATTAATGTTCATAAAAACTTAGAAGGAATTTTAGAAAATGAAATAAGACATGTAGTATAAATATTTTTAATTAGAACCATTTAGAACTTAGATATGGAAAAGAAAAATACAATTAAATTAAAGTTGAATATATCGTCCCCATTATCAAATTATAACCATTTTCTACATAAATATATTGCACTTATCATTCATTATATAATTAAAAATTATCCTCTTTATCGTTTGATAGAAAAACGATAGATATTCTAACTCTTTTATCTTTAATAGGAGTTCTAGACGAGATATGTTTGCCTTTGGAGTCCTAATCCATCTAAGATATTTTCATGTCACTTCCGAGTTCTATTTGTGAGGAGAGTGAAACTTTTCGAGAAGGTTAAGTTTTTTGTGTGGTAGTATATGCACGAAAGGGTTAATGTTGGTGATTGGATCCTCTCGTAGGGTGCCCAACTTAGTTTGACTCCTTTGTTGTATTCTTTGCAAGAGGTCAATTGTAGACCTCGATCATTTTCTTTGGAGATGTGATGTTGCAAGTGTATGTTTTGTGAGATCAACACAATGTTGAAAGAAGAATGAAACATTCTTTATAAGAGTGAAAATCTCTCCCTAGCAAACGTGTCTTAAAATTTTTAAGGGGAAACCCAAAAAGGAAAACCTAAAGAGGACAATATCTGTTTTTGATGGGCTAGGGTCCTTAAAAATTGGGAGTTGTTTCTTTGGGGTGTTCGACCTATGCCTTTGTCCGTTCTCAAGCTCTTATAGGAATGAATGTCTTTAGATGATTTTAAACCGAAGTCATTTCCCAAACAGGCGTTTTAAAAGAAGAGACAGATCCAAAAGAGTAATAATAGGAGTATTACACTAATTAACTATCCTTCTCCCTCTAAATCACAACAGAATTCTCTAATTAATCTCTATAAGGTCATCTAAGTGATAATTTGTACAAATTTACGTGATCAGGCAATTAGGAGTGCGAAAAAAGCTTCAAAGCATGCAATTAATCATCTGCAACTCGCATATTATAACGCCTTGCTAACCTGCGGGCAGTTCCATCAGTCATTACACCTTCAAGGATCTCATATTTCTTGTAGTTTCCTTTCAGTGCATCTTGCTGCTGCTTTGCAAGCTTCTCCTCTTCCACCAACTGTTGCTGCAAGAGAATGGGAGGAACCTTTGTTAAGAACTATTTAACCATGCTAAATTTCAAGTTCCGTGCCTCAACTTTTAGTCCTACTTTAAAAGTTTTCTAATAGATCCTTGAACTTTCAACATCGTGTCCATTTCATCTTTATAATTTAAAAGTTGCCTCTAAATTTTTAGTTTTGTGTCTTTTATGTCTCGTTGACTCCACCAGTTTAACACCTGAGCGGCACACCAAAGGGTTGATTTCATGGTATAAACGTTAAACCGATGGGAACAATGTATTTTGGGGGGGGGGGGCATGGGATTTTGAAACTCATACCTTCAGCAAGAATGCAGCTTCAGCAACATGCCTCTGAGTAAGACACTTCATTTTCTTTGCCACTTCAAAGTCAGGATCTTCCTTTCCCAACCAGACAAAGCTAATCTTCCTACCAGGCTTTATAGGGCGATCATCGAACATTTCCACTTCGGCAGGGTATGCCCTCACCGGTCTCGGCATTCCAGACATCATGAAAGGGAACTGAGATATCACAGAGATGACAGAATTTGCCTCCTTCGAGTCCTTCATCTCGACTAAAGCACATTGCGAGCTATTAATTGGCTCCGTGAAATTTGGAATAAAATGGACACTGACAACAGTCCCAAACTGATCTAAAGCGGTTCTCAAGACAGGCTCAGTCACTTGGGGGGAGAGATTATCAACATAGACAGTCCGTTTTACCTTTTCCTCAAACTTAGCATATTGTTCATCAGTAGCTGATCCCATCTGGGATGATAAAGAACCTAATATACCCATTAAAGGAGTTAGCATAATTGTTTACTGTAAACTAAGATAATTACAGTATCAAAAAACAACACTAAAGAGTACACTGTATGATTGGAATTTGATTCACCTCAAGGAAATTATTAGATCTTTTAACCAACTAGATGTGCTTAGGTTACTGATACGACAACTTTTATGTAACAGTCCAAACCCACCGCTAACAGATATTATCCGCTTTAGCCCGTTACGTATTGCCATCAGCCTCACAGTTTTAAAACACGTCTACTAAGGAGAAGTTTCTACACCCTTATAAGGAATACTATTTGTAATAGCCTCACAGTTTTACCGCTCACGTCTTTTAGGTTGAAATCATGTCTTATGTGAATAGGTTAACTATTTGTAACTTAGCAATTTATGTCCGTAAACTCTACGCTAGATACTGATCAATCCCAAGGCGGCAACAAACCTACCGGACCTACATTTAATAGTTGGAAAAACTTCATCAGAAGCAAACTTTTGACATGAAGAATGGCCCCATGCTCAAAGGTTACAACCATTTTCTGGATTAACCAAACACTCCTAAGAGGTTGTATAATCTTTTACAGAAAGAAAAGCAAAACAAATCCTTCTTTGTCCCTAATTTCATCTCACAAGATCAAGATTTTGGAGTTTTGAAGTTGGCTGCAACCCAATTAAGATATGCACCCAGGATTAGGCCCAGGCTAAGGCCACACACACACACACACACACACACACACTGATAATCTCAAGCTTGTGAGTGAACTGCATCTAAATGACATCAAAATATTCTACATAAGTGCGCTTCTCTAAACCGATACTACTGTTATTTCCAGAACAAATCATAACCCATCAATCATTTCTTTCCATCTCCATTGTTTTTTTCTCACAATTGCAAGCAATATGAGGCCCATATAGAGTGCAATCAAGTCACCTATCTAAATCAAAACCCATCTCATAGAGACCATTTCGACCCTGTTCATTGTTGTGCTTAAAGCCCAGAAAAACATGGGAAAAAGAATAATAAACACAATATAACGAGATGGCGGCGACTGAATTTAGAAATCACAAGGAGAGAGATTCTCAATGGAGAATAAATCAAAGAAGCCGGTAAAGTAAAGCAGGAAATCAAAGATTAAAGCGTGAATCTTACTAGTCCGAAGAAGAGAAATGAAATGAGCAACGGTGAGCGAGGGGCATGAGCCTGTAGCAGTAGAACAAAAAATGGAGGAGCGGAGCGTGGAGAAATGGAGATGAATTTGATGAAAAAAGGTGGAGGTGGTGGTCTCCTCCAATGGCTGTCAGGGAGGAGAAATGGAATAAAAGTACGCAGAAGAGAACTGAAACGATCCCAACAGAAATTAGGGCTTTATTTATTATTATTATTTTTATAATAATTATATATAAATATAATATTATTTTAAAATTTTAATTTATTATGATTTTATTACTATATACAATACACAATTATTTATGGTTAGATTAGATTGAATTTATTATTTAATAAGGGATGTTCGAGTTAAAAAAATTTACAATCAGAACAAAAAAGATAGACTATAAATGATGAAATTTACACAAAAATGGTCACGAAGCAGGCTAGTGCTATAAACCGCATTCCCGTAAGAACAAAAACGAGTATTTACATTTTTTTTAATCAATTTAAACATAATTCAGCTAGTTAAAAAAATAATATAATTCAACCCATATTTACCCTTTTACTTTATTCGTTGATGCGTCGTTTTATTACCGTTAATTGGATAAAAGGCATATTTTTATACAGCTGGATATTCAATTATTCTTAAAAATGGTAGTAAATATAATTTAGAGAACTAATCCCCACTGTATTGCAAAAATAGACCAATTTTTATTAAAATTTAGAAAATTGTGTTTATTTAATTATCTTTTCCATTGTTTTTTTTTTTTACGCCGCCGATGGCCTTTGAAGACGCATGACTCGCGTGTGCCCACAACCCTCTGTTCATGAACGTGACGACAGAGACTTCCAGGGGAATCGAATTCAGACTTTGGAATTGTATCAGAGAATCAAAGTCAGCTGCTCCACCATCTCAGATTTGTCCAGAAAGCTCCGTTTGATTCCATTGTTTTTTACTTCAATTTGCTCTGACTGCTGTTACGCGCTGTTCTGCGTGTTTCGGCTGCTTCATTCACGAGTGTCTCAAAACGCCTCAGAGCTTCGGTTTTTCAATTTTGAGGTAATTTCCTTGCCTGGAATCAGCTGAAACGTTGTTTCAGATTGTTATTGCTATGTATTGAATGACTTTTGACTGTGTTTTTTCATTGAATGTTGGACTAGTTCCATGCGACTGCGAGAGAGTTCGATGTGAAGTGGAAGATGGATTCTTCGTGGTCACGAATATTTGGCGTCGTGAGGTTGTGAATGTGAGGTCGGGGGGTTGAT